GGGTGCGCGCGGGCTCTGGTGCGCAGTGAAGGCAGTGAGCATGCTGGCACTCTGGTGTGTGTTGGCAACGCTCGTGTTTTCTTAGGAATGTGGTAGGGCCTGCTTGCCCTCTGTCCTAGTGGAGGGCCTCCTGCAGACGCAGGTGCTCTGACAGATGCCTGGAAGCAAAACTCGGCTTTTCCAAAATGTGTTTCAGGGTCCCAGGGAGCCCTTTCCCAGGACCGTGGAAGAGGGGACTGTCATGGGACTCCTGTGGGCACCTCTATGTTAAAGGGTGTCCCCATGGCTTTGCAGGCATTGCGGACTCCAGCGTCCTGATCTGCCATGCTTTTGACACACTGAAAACGCGTGCACACCTTTCCATGAACTTGGGGAGGAGGGGTCACCTGTGTCCCCTTTTAAAATGGCATTATTTCTACTGCATTTTCTGTGTGGTTAGAACTGGAAGTAGATCTTGGGATATAAACCTGTTGCCACGTCGTTTGTGATTCACTCATTAGTAAGTTATTCACTTATTCATCCATCCACTTACATGCCAGAGATGCTTATCACGCATGTAGGCAGCCGTCTCCAGCCGCCGTGGGATTCTGGCCCCCAAACACCCCTTTCCTATGCAACGTTCCATCGAGTGTGCCGGCTCCTGTCTAGTGTGATAAGATTTTACTCCCATGCTTAGGTTCTGTTATATGGTAAAGATGAAGTGATTTTGGAAGATGGAATTAAGGCCCCTGGCCAATTGACTTTGAATCATTCCGAAGGGAGCCTCCCCTGGGTGGGCCTCACTCGATCAGGTGGGCCCTTTTAAGGCGAGTCCGGGACCTCCCTGGGAAAGGGGATCCAAAGCTGGTGGGGCCCTCTCGCTGGTCTTGGAGACACAAACAGCCACATTGTAGAGAGGGCCATGTGCGTCGCCCCTGGGAGCAGAGGGCCTCAGTCCTACAGCCTCAAGGAAATGAATTCTGCCAAGAGCCACATGAGTTTGGAAGGGGACTCCTGCCTCAGATGAGATGCCGGCTCTGGCCTCGAGTGAGACCCTGAGCCCAGCGCCCAGCTGGGTCGTGTCTGCACGCCTGACTCACAAAACCGGGAGATGACTATGCGCTGTTTTAAACCACTATGTTTGTTATGCAACAATAAGAAATGAGTGTGATACCTATTATGTGCCAGAATGAATGAACACCATTTTGTTCCAAAGGCACCCATAGTCTGGAAGAGGAGACAGAGCACGTGAAAGACACGATTTAAGAGTGGAAGGCGTTATCATGGAAATAGGGATGGGGGTCAATTCTGGCTAATCATGGTGGACACACTGCCATCAAAACCCTGCACACAGCCAGTGAGAGGGGGTCAGCCAGCAGGGTGAAGATGATGTCATGAGGAGAGGGACAATTCTGCTCTTTTCCCTGGGCTCATCGGCTGGGTCTGAAACCTGCGTTTTCTGTGGCTGAGTTCCTCCTCAACCTACCCTGTGGAGGAAGCCCACTGCTGCAGGAGAAAATGAAGTCCCCAGGGTTTGGAGGTGAAAAACAGAAGCCTGAGGGTGTTTGATGCCTGGGTCCAACTGAGCCTGAAGCCAGCTTGATTCCCACCTTCCCAGTAGAGGAGACAGTGCTCCTCGGGGGTTGTGCTGCTTCAGTTCAGGTGTCCTGATCGACACAGACACACAGGATAGCAAGTGCTCAATACAGTGTAGTTACTCTTGTTACCGAACTGATTGTTCACGTGAACTGATAACGTGTCGTGACGTCTTTAGGGGTGGCCACCTCAATTCTGGGTGCTTATCTGGGGGGACTGAGTTTTGCATGCTGAGGGGGAGCATCACGGTACAAGCCGAGCCCTCATGATCAAGGGCGAGCGTGGACACTGCAGGCGAGGCTCTGCATCCTGGCGGTGGTTGCGGTCGCCCCGAGTGGCAGCAGAGGACTGAGGCTTTTGAATGACGGCCTAATGGGCCAGTGGTGCTGCACACGAAGAGACCCCCAGACAGAACCCATTTGTGTGCGGCTGCTGTGGGACAGGGAGCTGCGGCCCTGGGGGGTCTCAGGTCCCAGCCGACATGCCTGGATATGCCTACTGGCCTCCCCCACAGCCGGTGTGGGGCTCTCTTTCCAGAAAGGCAGGACCGTGCACTGCCGGACCAGCACTCCAGCGGGGCCCTGGGCTCTGCGAACGGGACAGCCGAAGATGCCCTAGACATCTGAGCAGATGAGGTCGTGCAGATCCGCGGCCAGTGCCTGCCTGGAGGCCACCTTCCTGCCGCTGAGGCGGCCTGCAGACTGCGGGGACTTAGCCCGGCTGCGGGTGAGCTGGAGGTACTGGTCAGCACCGCTGTTCTGCTGGTCAGTGCTGGACGCCGCTGACGCAGAATCCGACTCTGTGACGGATGGCTCGGGCTTGGCCTTGCCTCTGGGCTGCCCGGGGACTCGGGGGCCCTGGGGCTTCCGGGGCGGTGGCTTTCTGTGCACAGACCGCGGCCTGTCAAGCGGGCCTGGAACGCCGTCACCCCAGGACTTGTGGTGCAGCCTGCCCTGGGGCTCCGGAGCCAGGGGCCGGCTGTGGGACCTGCCACCCACATGGCAATGCGGAGGCCCGGGGGGGCCTGTTGGGGATGGCCGGTGGCAGGGCCGCCCAGTCTCCTCCTCCTCGTCACTCACCTGCCGCGGGGCCCAGGACACACACTGCCGCATGCTCCTGGGGCTCATCTCCACCGCGCCCTGTAAAGCATCTACCTTGAAATGTTTTTCTGGCCAGAAAGTCGGACGGATGTTTCTGTGACAGTCACAGTCTTTGACGATGTAGTATTGGGAGGTGTGGGGCCTGGGAGCATGCGGCGCCCCGGCCGAGACCCCTGGTCCATGACGGGGAGGGCGGCGGTGCTGGACGTCTTTTCGGAAAGTAGGCTCTGAGCGAACACGCTTGGTGTGCCTCCCAGCCATCGCCGGTGCGCAGGGGCTGCAGGTGGGAGGGTCCCTTGGGCCTGCATGCGGGCCCCACAGGTACCTGTAAGACGGGGCGGGGGGGTGGTGAGGCCTGTGCGCGTGGCGCTCTCAGCCCTGCGCCTGCCCTGCATGGCTGGCCAGGTTTCCTCACGCTGTCAGGGAGGCTCGCACCAGTGTTTCTGAGTGTTCTGCGGGCTGCGCGACGGGTACAGCACGGATCTCATTAATGCTGGAACTCTGGGCAGCTCTGATGCAGTGAGCGCTCCGCAAAGCTCTGTGGAGCAGGCAGGGCCCAGGGGGCTGTGCTGACATATTTCACTGTGAGCACAAAGTGGGGCTAATATTTGGGGAGCACCTGCCGGGGACACAGGTCTTCACCATCTCTGCCTCACAGTTGCCCAGCTTCTCGGGCACTGCCTCCTGGGTCCACCCGGGCCCACTGGGCCCACTGGGGCCAGTGGACGGTAGATGAGAACCCCCAGGTGCTATCTGGATCATCTCCACAGTGCTGCCTTCAGATCAGACGCGCTTCCCCGTGGGAGTCTGGGTCAGCGCATCCTTTCGGACGCCGTGGCCTCTGCAGGAGGCAGGAAGGGCCCCGCTCCCCACGTGCAGGCAAGCCTGAGACACCGGCCCCGGGAGGAGGAGCTGGCCTGCCAAACATGGCCGGCCTAGAAATAAAATACAGAAGAGCCTGCCAATGATATGGCCAGTCTGGAGTCAAAAACTAAGACATAAAACAATTTTCAAGGCATGTTCTCCTGTTAGACTCTAGAAATGCATACCCTAGGTTGGCAGGAAGGTCTGCTCACTGTTTATATGGCAGAAGGACTCGGAGCAAGAAATTGTCCTGTTTGACAAACCTCATCCCTCCATTTCTTCCCAGAACCGGCTGTCCCGGTCTCTCTTGACTCCATGGCCTTCTGGCAAAAATTGGAATTTAACAGCCCTGGTCACCTGACACTGTTGAGGGCTGAGGCACCCCTAAGGGCTCCTTGTCCTGCACGTGGAGACCCCGGGCCTTTCCTGGAGGCATCGCCTTCAAGGGGGCGGCTTTCCTGGGGATTCAGTGGCCTCACCTGTCAGCAGTGAGCTGCGGCTTGGATCTGGAGATGCCAGGAAGAGGTGAGCCGGGCCGGCCAGGCGCTGGCTGGGGACCCTGAGGCTCGGGCTGCGTGACAGTGTCTGCCAGGCCACCCCTGCTGCGTGACAAGTCGACGCTGACTATATCGCCATAGTTCTGGGGGGTCCCCGAGGTCGCCGAGGACAGCTGGCCACAGGGACCGCTCCCCTCCAGGGGCCTCCTGCTGCCCTCCTGGCTTTGCATTCGGGCTGCAGAAAAAGGCTGGGTGTGAGGAGACCACCTCCCAGAGGCGCTGCGTTCAGGATGGGTAAGGGGCAGGAGGGGCGTGACTTCCCACAGTTGGGTCTACAAGCAAGCGCGTGTTTGCAGACGCACCTACCCGTGGGCAACAGCCATTTTGTAATTTAAATCATTTCTTCACAGAAAGTTGGAGCTGGACTGAAGTGTAGGCACCAAATAAACCCCGAGGCTTTACAGACTCACCCTCTAAGGCCCCCACAAGGCTGTTTACCAGCCACGGGGCTCAGGTCAGTGGATGTAATAAAGCTTACATGACAATTAACGTTTTTTGGAAACAGTTCACAGAACATCCTGAAAAACGATATAGCCTTAAGCTAGAAAATGGACACATGGTCACTACCCTGAGAAGGTTTGCGGACATCCTAGTGTTCGAAGACACCTGAACTGAGCTTATTTATTCTCCACTGGCCAGAAATATTTAACAATGACAGACGGGTTTCACAGCAGGAGCTGCACTTTGCATGGTGATTTTCATCTGTAGGCCGCTCTCTGAACATGTGGACAGGGCAAGCCAAACCCCGAGGCCGTGGCAATCTTACAGGCATTTCTTCGGAGGGGAACAGATCCCCTCCTCTGTGCTAAAGCAGACAAAAGAGTCGGCTGCATTCTGGGTCTCGTTCCTATTGGTTTGGAGCGGTGACTATGAACTGTGCTGCCGGAACCGCGCTCAGAGATCCACCCAGCTCGCAGGGTGACCCGTCACTGGCCCCGGGGCAGCCTGTTTCCTCTGAGCTACACACGCCCACTTCTCCCTATTTCTCATTCTTTTTTCCTGTTCTCTCCGTGAGCCTGGATGGGAGCCTGGATGGGAGCACGTTTGCCCAGGTGCGGCTGTAGAAGGTGCGGAGAGAGGTGTGCCCGTCAGGTTTGGGTTTGCGGCTGGGCCTGCGCACCAGGCGTGGCTCTGCAGGGGTGGGACAGACGGACACTACCTGAGGAGACTGGAGTCTGGGGCAGACGCGGGCAGGGAGGGGTTCTTGCCTGGAAGAAATGGCCCTTGAGGAGAAGTACACAAAAGTGAACGTGACAGAGACGTTCTAATGGGTTTTCTCCAGATGTTTTGTACTTCTTTTCTCTCTTATTTTAAAATTTCCCTGATTTCAGATATATTTTTGGGTTATTCACAGGCCTGGGTATAATAATAAAAAATTGTAGATTTAAACCAGCATTTCTATCCCTGGGTTTTATTTTTGTTGTGCCTAGTTAATTGTGAAAACCAGAGTATATCAGAAAATTTGCTGGGTAGGCTGCCTTAAATGTGTATATTTTTAACTGCCCACCGACTGAGACACTCACCTTCTATCATTTGGGCGACCTTTTTCTTATCTTCAGCTCTCGCCTAAAACATAAATGATAATGGTGTGTTTGTTGGGGTTTAGCGGGAAGGAGTAACACGCTGTTCCGGGGGTAGGAGCGCATGCGTCACGGCTCATGCGGTGGCCACGACTGACTGACCACCACTGCCTGCGGACGGGGTGCTCTGGACTGGCGCCTGCTGTGTGATGGAATAAATGCTGGCACTGAAAGCAGGAGCCTCACTTAGCAAGCTTTATTTTTAGGGGCAGCTGTTGGAGAGCCCGTGTTCAAATTCTCCCAATAATGGTTTGCCTGGAGCACAAAGGAGAAGTGGGGGTCTGGGTAGGGGTGAAGCACGCGAGGGGCCCCCCTGAAGGAGGCCCCCTCCCCAGGGGTGAGGGTGCAGGTGAGGCGGAGCAGGGAAGGGGGACAAGGGTCATGCCTTTGTCAAATCTACTCAGCCAGCGGAAAGGCCCAGCTTATTTTTAACTTAGTCCATATGCTGTTCTGTCTCTTCTTCCAGCCCCTTAATCAATTCACCAGGATGAGAGACAGACCTTTGGAGTGTAAATGAACTCAAGGGGAAAGAATGCTAAGATCTGGATCAACACAGTTACTTAAATAACCCTGTTCTTAAGACAAAACTTCAAAGGAATTATTAATCACCTGCCCTACCCCTACCCCTACCCCAAAGGCTCTATAAAACCCCAAACCCTAAACCCTTAAGTGCACCTCCACTCTGAGGTCACCCACACTCCCGTCCGAGTGTGTGCTGTCGTATCAAGGAGACTTCCTTGCTGCATAAGCCTACTGCACTTCATTTCTGAACTTCTTTTCATGATAAAGATAAGAACTAGCCTATATATTTGGCACTTTGCTGTATATCATTCAGCTTTCTACTCTTAACATGGTCCTTTTCCTCTTTCCCTGGTTTATTTCAGACCAGGAGAGAAGGGGAAGTTCTCAGAATATCATCCCACTCCCTCAAGTGTTCCACGGCTCCCCCAAATCCTGGGGTGGTGGGGACCAAGCAGACGCTGGACGCCAGGTGACCCTGGCTCTAGGAGATGGCAGGGGATCTGCCCTGTGCCACGCAGGGGTCAGTGGACTCGCCTTCTCCCCTCCGCTCTCCCTTCTCTCTCCCGCCTGCTGGCTGCTGACATTCGTACTCCCGCTCCAGCAAGGTCCTTGCCTTGCTGGCACTTGTTCAACCTGACTGCAAATTCTTCCCCGATTAGAGTTGAGAGCCCTCCCCGGGTGGGCTGAGGTTTGGCACAGTGGGCAGGGAGAGACCTTCCCGGATGGGATGCCCATCAACACAGGGTCAGCTTGCACCCCCTTGCCTCTCACCCTCATCCTGACAGTGGGGGAGCACCCAGGGTGCGTGGAGGGGAAATTGTTGGTTCTGAAAGCTTAGGTTTGAGTCCCAGATGGGAGAGAGGGAATGAGAACCAAAGTCTAAGAGAAATGCAAAGGGTGGGTCTTTGGGTCCAAACAATGCCTTTGGGCTCAGGTGCCCACATTGACATGGGATCAGGAAGGGCACTTTCTCCTCCCTTCCCAGTCCTGCCTGGCCAGACACCAGGGCACAGCACAGCCACGAGAGGGGCCTGGAGAGCTCAGGGCACCAGCGAGGCCCCTTGGAGAGGTGCCAAGCATGAGGGGCCTTCTGGGCGAGTGGGGCCGTGTCTGGGTCTTCTCAGCAATGACTCTGGGAGATCCTGGGGGCAGGGCAAGGCCTTAGCCCCTTGCTGGTGGCCAAGAGTCCTAGTGGTCTGGCAATGCGAGCTCCCTGTATCCTCTTGGGGGTGAGAGATGGGGGGTCGGGACACATGCACAGCAGCAAAGAGGGGGTGATACTTGCGTTTTGGATCTTCAGTTTGAGCTGATGGTTGCTAAGCTTTAACGATCTTGCAATGCTCTGAAGGTAGTAGATGAGCATGCTAGGGCAGAACGGCACAGACAGTGAGTGGGCTTCAGCCAGCTGTCAGCCCGGGCCACGTCCCCTGCTCAGCTGGCCTGCAGGAGCCGAGGCTCCCAGGCCAGATGCGGGCTGCCCGCTGCCCTCCCCTGAGGACAAAGGTGCCTGCGAGCTCCCGGGCTGGGAAGGCCTGGGGGAGGGCTGCCTCCCTCTTCTTTCTTCTGCTTTTCACAGCAGTGCCGCTGACCTGGAATTGTGCACGGGGACAGCACTAAGCCCGGGCGCTGCTGGGAGAGGCACCTGACATGTATCGTGTACTGGAGCTGCTCACTGTTATTTTTTCCTTAAGTCAAAACAGCAGAAGCCACAGAACTGAACCGTAAACTCCTTTTCAGTACTATTCTAACTTCAGGAGAATAGGGTAATGATGGCATTTAACCCCATTATAGTGGCCACAGGGACTGTCCAAGTGCTCACGAGGAGTCGGTGTCGCTGGACTTCCACGGCTCCTGTGCGACTCAGCGTCCCTGTGTGACTACAGCGCCAGGCTCTGTAAGCGACTTTGATGAGCACATCGGTTTTATGGGTTATTGGAAAGCAGTGCTTTCTTGGCCAAATGCACAGACGTCCCCCAAATGCTGGCGGGGAGATGGAGAGAGGTACTCACATAAGCAGCAGCAGGGCTGGCAGGACGGTCACGGGGCTGCTGATGTGGCTGGCCACAGAGCCGAGCCACGCAGGGAAGTCCTCTGCAATCGTTTCTGACACGATGTCATAAATTTTCTCTTGTCCACTGTGAGGGGGAAAGACGTAACTCCAGATGGTGTAGCTTTTGGCAAAGGAATGCCGCCAGCCATCGAAAAATAGCCCTATGGCTAGAGTCCTGTCCCCTGAGTCAGTTACAAAGCTAGAGTGAGTATCTGGACGTAAAATGTGCTGATGTAGAACATTCCCACGGTGATTCCATATGAAGTAGTTACCTGGTTAACGTTAGGCTGAAGGTGTGGTCAGCACTCACAGTGTGTGAGTTTAATGATGTACGCAAAGGGTGACTGGACGTGACATATACGCTGTAGCAAAACCGACTTACAGCAAGTGCTCGGTAGGGGTCAGTAGGGACTTCCCCCCTGATGCACTTAGATAACGTGGAATCAAACGTGATGTGGATTATCTTCTAATAAAAGCTTTCTGACTTCTGGCAGGGGAAGACAGACCAGGTAGAATTTCTTTTCAGCACAAGAGCAGTGCTGTTGCCCTTCTTGGCTTTAAATGGGCTGCGTCTCTCGGAGGGGCGCAGAGCTGACTGTACTCGAGCGCAGCCTTCTACCGAGGGAAGGGCACCGGTCCTGGCTTCAAAAGACATGAGTTTGAGGCCTTTCTCCGCTGCTGAGCTGCTCCGAGGCGGGAGGAGAATCCGTCCGATGCGGGGGTCCCTCCCCTAACGCTACCGACAGCTGCAGGCAGAGCTCACGGAGCTGAAGCGACTTACCTGAAAGGCCCACAGCTGAGCGACGGCTTGTACCGGACGATAGCGAAAATGGTGGGCAGCATGCAGAGGGAGAGCATGAACAGCAGCGTCGCCAGGTAGAAGTTGTTGGACCTGAGGAACAGCCAAGTGCCGCGTGCTGAGTTCGCCGGCTGGCCGGTTCCTGTGGTGGTTATGCCCAGGGAGCCGGCGCAGAAGCTGCAGCCCCCTCCCTTCCCTGCCTGGGAGAGGGTCTGTCCCAGGGGCGCGGGCAGCTAGCAAACTAGAAATCGGTGCTCAGACGGACCGTGAGGATCATGCAGCCCCACCAGTTCATCTGCTGAATCTTTGCTGAGCCTCTGTTCACCTCGAACCAAAAGAGTGGTGAGCGCGTGGCCATTAGCCCATGATCTTAATTCGTGGAAAAGTCTTAGAACCTTTACCGCATCCAGCTGGGTCCCTGCCTGAGGTTTCCTCTCCTGCTGCCAGCCTCGAACATGTCCCCTGTGTGTGACGATGGGGCGCACCCTTTGCTTATGGTCCTCGATTCTCTCCCTGGGCTGCGGCCTGCACTGCCCTTTGAACCCCGGCCCCTGGCTGCTCGCTGTAAATGTTCTGCCTGACTCAGTCCTGGGCCCTGGGCCTGAGTTCTAAGCTGGTACCAGGGAGCTGGGCTGCCCAGGCCTCCCTGAGGGCAGCTCAGATCTGTCTGGGCCACAGGACCCTGTACACAGTTCTGATAAGAGAATGAGTGGTCAGCGAACCTAGAGGCTGTCGCCCAGCACTCTCTGTCTCTCTCCCTCTTTCATGAAACAGACTACAAGGAGTAGAAATGTCAGCACGTGGAGTGTAGTAAGTAGGACTGTTGATTTGTGAGACCTTCCTCTCTCTCTGTATATATAATATGTTTATTATATAGAATATATAGAATATATGAGTGTATATGCATTTGTGTATGTATGTTTATACATGTGTGTGTATCTATATATACATACATATAAATGAGTATACACATGCATATATAAAATATACTTATTCATATATATGAATGCTTGCCTCTATGTATACTAGTCAGTAGATAAAATATAAATACATTGTCATGCAGGTCATGGTCAAGAATTTGAAAGCCATTGATGTAGACCCACATAAATCATGATTATGTCAAAATAAAACAACTGAGCTTTAATCAGCATGTTCAAAATGTGTTACAGATTCACCAAAAAGGCTAAAATAGAAAACAGAGAAAAGAATAAGTGCGGTGAGGTTGTGGGACTGTGGGACTCTCCCTAATGTCTGCGGAAGCGTAAAAGGTGCGGTCCCCCTGGAAACCCCAGCACCGTCTTCTAGGTGAGGTGCCCCGCGACCCAGCGCCGCGGCCCTGGGATGCACCTGAGGAAGACACGGGAATGTTCAAGGCAGCACCAGTCCTCAGCGAACTGCTGGGAGCGAGCCCTGTGCCCGTCGACAGTGGCACGGAGAACAAAACTGGGGGCGTTTTCATCAATGAGATGATTGAGGGGAAGAAGCCAGAAACAAAGAGCGCATGCTGTGTGTGATTCCATTTTGCCCAGTGAACCACCAGGAAAGATGAATCATGCCGCTGGGAGTTAGTAGTGCCTGGAATTGAGCACCGGGGGCTGCTGGGTGTTATTCTTGCTCTGCTCCTTGGTCTGGGTGCTGGTGAGACACTTGTGTGGTCACACACTTGAATAGTCCTCAGGCTGGATATTTATGATTTCTGCACTTCCTAAGTGATGACTAAACTTCAGTTAAATGTTTTTCAAAAATGTGTCATGAGCTCAAGAGGAGTAATGCTAATTCCAACGGTGGCTTCAGGGGGAAGTGAAACGAGAGGACAGATCATACTTTGGTGGGCAGGAGTTGGGGGACCTTGCAGGGTGCCGCCTGGGTCAGGAGAGTGTGGGTGACCTTACTTCTCTGGGTGAAGCCGACTTTATTCTCACTGACCTGGAAGCTCGGAAAACCTGCTGGTGGGGGACGTTGCAGGTCAGCACCGCCCAGCTCCTCAGGTACATGAGCCCGATCAGCTTGAGGACGTTGAACGCTGGGAGACACGGGGAGAAGAAGGCGCCCATCCTGCAGCCACGGGGAGGCCAGTTAGTGCGCTCTGGCTTTCGGTCCATGGAGGTCCTGACACCGTGGCGTTCATGCCTTGTGCTTAAAGAACTGCAAAAGGCCCCTGCAGGTCCGAGACCCGTGCCCCCCGCCTCCTGGAGATGACGCCAAGTCCTCCTATAGGTGGGTGGCAGTCCGGTATTGCAGTGCCCGCCTGACCCAGGCATGCCCAGCCTGCGTCTCCCTCTCCACACCCAGCTGAGGAAGGGCCTCCTCTGGTGCGGAGGCAAACACAGGTTTTCCCCGCTGTCCAAAGTTCGCCTTACGCCTCTTCACTTTTACAAAAGACCTAGATTAGTGCCTGTTCCTGTTGACAGTGGAATCCAGGGAGGATTCTCACGTTTATGAGTGCTGCCTGCCTTCCCCCCTCACGTCTTTGCAGCCTGGGGTGCTCTCCCGTGGGAGTGGGGAAGCAGTGATGGGTGACCGCACAGCCGGGGCCACGCCCCAGAGATCCAGCCTCACTGACGAGGGCCGCACTCATCCGCCACTGACTTTCAGGTTTAACCGACATGCATCGAGCAGCTGCTTGTGCTGGACACCGTGCTGAGCGCCCGCACCCATTCTAGCTTGTTTCATCTCCCACAGTCTCGAGAGGAGGGGCCAATGTCTGAAATGTTAAGGAGCTGGGGCAACAGGTGAGAACTGGGTCGCCCCGGGGAAACAGACACGCAGTCACCCTGCAAATCGGTCTCAACTATGGAACAAAGCCCAGGTCTTGGGAGGGTTATGCTGGACATGCGTCCAGCACAGCACTTGTGGAATCTGGATTCCATAGAAGGAAAATGAGTGTAGTATGCATAGAGATATGTTTGACATGTAAAAAAAAAAATTTTAGAAGAAACTTGGTTTTGCCCAGCAGGCAAAAATATCCCTGTCTTTGTGTGATGTCAGGCAAGGCACTTAGCTTGTCTGTGCCCCAGTTTCCTCATCTTTAAAATGAGAAAATAATACTAGCTACCTCATAGGTTTAAAATGATTGAATTGGTTATTACAGGCACCAAAGTATGTGTCTGGCAAATATTAAATACATGTTGTATATTATTTTTAATCCTGTATTTTTGAAAAGTCTGCAAAATGTGATGGGCTCTAAGAACACAGAATTTGACTGAAGGAATATTACTTTATACCTCTTGATTCCCCATGCATTTTACTGAATAATTATGAAGAGAGATTGTGTTTTCTGAGCACTCGGAACATCTAAGGTTTTTCTTCCTTTTCTTTGCTTGTTTGTAGTCTGACAAGTAGCACTACGTGTGGTCTGATGGGTAAACTGGAGATGGAGGAATGTGTTAGAAAGCCCTCTGCTGCGCGCACACACACACACACACACACACACACACACACACACACACACACACACACACACACACAGGTCAGAGGACCCCTTTCAGGCTGTGGCATCTTTAAGGGCAGGAAGGATCACTTTGGCCGGGAGCTGCCTGGCACGAACGGACCTCTGGACTTCTGGCCTCCCCCCAGGACGGGTCTGTCATTTGGGGGACAGCCTTGCTCCTGGGATCAGGGTCTAAATGAAGTCAGGGAGGCATGTTGGAGGGATGGGGAGGTAGCAGAGGGCAGGCCTGGCCGAGGTCCCACCTGTGATGACCACCCCTCGAAACCCCCATTTGGGGAAGCCCCTCCCCCAGCCTCCCCCGATCCTCCCCAGCAGCTTGTTTCACTCATTCCTGTGCAGATCTTTGGCCTGACACAGACTGCTTCCTTCATCATTCCTTCCTGCAAAACGCTTAGAAAGCCATCACTCATATCAGTGATGCAGCTCAGTGAGAAGCTGTTCGTGTTTATGTCCTTCCTTACTTCGTGCGGCTGTGTTCCTGATGGCCAGGCCCACCCACATGCAGTAAACCAAAATCTGAGCTCAGGTGGGACTCCAGCAAAGGCAAGGGGGGCTCCGGTACTCACCAAATCATGCCTTGGTTGTAGACTAAGTGTAACACGTTCTCCGCTATTTTGAATTCTCCATATTCAGGCTACAAGAGAAAATGAACTTCTGCATTAATAAATATTCCAGAATTCTGTGCATAAACCACTTAGTTCTTTACAGCCACAAACAGGGAATTCTTTGCTCTTACAGACACCTAGAGATCACTGTCACGTGGCCATCTGGCCAACAGTAAATGAGAAGGGGCAGAGCTAGGTGGACGCTCAGCCCGTGCATGCCTCCCTCTTCCCTCATGTGTTTTCTCCCAGCCACATGTCTCTCTGACTGGACACCGAAGAAGGACGGGCCCGGCCACATGAGCCTCCCCCCGGGACGTGGCGCCTTACTCACACACTTGTTTTCCAGGTCCCAGCACCAAAAGTCACTTAAGTACCGGACGAAGAGCCCTCGGAAGAAGTCTATGAGCAGAACGCTGGCCGCGGTGAAGAGCATATCGATGATGGAAAGCTTCAGCATCTCCTGAAACACAGGGGACCCTTGGGTGCCCCACGCCCTGCCCTCCCGCTGCCCCCTTGTTCTTCAGGAGCCCCCCTCTCTGTTCGTTCCTGTGGGCTTGAGCCGCTGAGCCCCCTCCAATAGCATCTTTATTTCTGGCACTGGAAGGGTGCTCAGTAAATATTTGTGAATTTGAATTTGGGTCTTGGTCTCTGGGGCCAGCATGACGTGAGACCAGGGAAGACTCTGGGGTCTGTGGTTCTGAATCTCTGGGGTCTGTGGTTCTGAACCACAGGAGGCTGTCCGAGGCCCGTGATTCAGTCTCACTGGGAGAACACCTCGGAGTCGGGATTCTCTGTCCAGATCACGTCTGGAAAGGGGAAGGCAGAGGGGCTCAGGGCACAGGCGGGAGCAGACGGCAGGGCTCAGACCCTTATTCTCATCTTCGCTACCTGTATCCTTGGGCAAGCGACCTGACTCCCCGTGCCTCGGTTTCCCTGTCTGTGCCTATGAGGCTGATCAGGACAGGATTTTTCTGAGGACCGAGCACTTAGATTGGCGCCCGGCATACATGAGACTTCACACTGATTATAACTATTAATTTGAGACCTGCGAAGCCATGAACCCTCACTGACCCTTATTTTCCTTTTTTTATAAAGTGGGTGATGACAGTGCAGAGTTAAGTGATGATATGGATGCAAAGGGTTCCGTGAGGGGGGAAGGGAGCCACCTGCCCCACGTATGTCTCCCAGCACTGGTCCTGCAGACCCTGCGGGTAGACGGCAGTCCTGTTGGCCTCCGAGAGAGGCGGGGTGGCCGTGGGGGCACCAGCCCCTCCTGGGGCCCACGTGCTGTTCCTCCCGGGCTCTCCCCCAGGCCCAGGTGTGGACCATTTCTGTTCCATAGGGACCGTCCTGGTGGAAGTGAAGACTGTAGGATCTATCCAGGGACTCGTGCTGTTTTTTGTGGCAGCTTCCTGTGGGGAGAGGGAGGAAGGAAAACAAAAAGGTTTTCCATGTATTTGTAAGTAAGAATTTATCGTGGACCAAGGGTGTCCCCGCCGTGTTTGGGAATAATCTCCCTGTCTTGCTGTGTCCCCGTCTCCTCACTCTCCAGCTCGTGGATTCTTCCTCGACGGAAGCTGGCCCCAGGAACGAAGCCAGGATGTAACAGGCAGCACCGAGTGGTCCCTGCCGAGTGCCAGAGGCTGTTCCCGGTTAAGCCATGTTCCGTCTTCCCATCCTCACCAGAGCGTCGGGTAAGCATTAGGACCCCGTGTCACAGACGAGGAGACTGAGGTCAAATGCCCAACGTCGCTTGCCAGTAGGTGGCCAGGAAGGACCCAGTCTGGGCACCATCTAAGCCCGGAGGCAGAGGCACTGTGCCCCATGGCCTCCTCTGCCTTCTGACCTTATGGATTTGACGCTGGCATGTATGGCCCAGGCCAATGGCCTCCGGGAGCCACCTGCTCCCCCTCCCTGCCTACCCTGCCCCTCCCCATTAGGGGTATCCTCAGAGGAGGATAAAAATGCAGGGCAGGCTAAACATGTGCCTCGAGCCACCCTGGGAGGGAATGGCCACCCGGGCCGGGATGGTGGGACACTCTGCACCGCTCCCCACGAGATGCTTGTTTTCCCCCAGTTTGCTGAGTGAGGCTCACAGCCTCTCTCCCCCAGATCATGGGCAGCAGCTGGTAACAGCTTTTCCTGATGGAATTCAAGAAAATGGGGCAGAAACTTGGAGTCTGAAGACCCTAGCACTCGCCATAAACCCTGGCCTCAGTTCCTCTGCCCGGGAAATGGGTCATTTGTCTCTCCTTACCTTGAGGAGGCCGTCAGGGAGTCGAGTTTCAAGCATGCTGCACGAGTGCGCGTATAAGCAGTAGTCCCGACAGGGACGATGGCCCTGCTGCGTGCACACCTGTGTGCCTGCGCGTGTGCGCGCGCTTGGCAGTGCCCGGGCTGGAGTGCTCACCTCCGTGCTCATGCTGTTCACTTTGTCCAAGAGCGCGATGATGAGACTGTAGAGGTTCCCCAGGTACAGCACGAGGACCCTGAAAGCCACAAGCCCACTGTGAGAGGCAGGAACCCCCACAGAAGTCCAGGCGCTACCCCAGGGCTCAGGGGCCGCTGCACGGTCGTGCTGAGACACCGGCTGCCAGCCTCGGTTTCCTTCAGAATCATAAAAGGGGGAGGCATTTAAGACATACAGAATTCCAGGATCCATCCTGCTCCAGTAGCCTGGAGGGGGCCTGGGAATGTCTTTACAGCCTCTCCAGAGATTCCACTGTGGTCCGTCCTCGGATTGGCATCTGGAAGCCACCATGCAGCAGAAAGGGCGAGAGCTTAGGAGGTGGGGCTCGAGATGCCGTGTATGTTACCTGTACTTGGTGTCACGTTTTGTGGTTTATGGAGCGGTTTTCCAGGTGTTTTCTCATTTGATTCTCACTGCTCATGAGGAATATGCTACAATCACCCCCTCTTAAGGGACAAGTCAAATCAAACACAGAGAGGGGAAGTGACCCACAGTCAAAGAGACGCAAGAGACATGTTCAGGATCTTGGTGGCCTGGCTCTGAGAACCCAGATCCGGCGGACAGAGCCTGTCAGATGCACTGAGGGGCCAAGCAGGAGGGGCTGGGGGTACAGCCACAGCGTGTGTGCACCGGAGCAGACGGGATCTGCCGGCAGCCCCCTTGACCAGCCAGCGATCAAAGACCTGAGGCCAGCTTCCTGGAGCTGGAAGGCTTTGGAAACATCCTGGGATTTCCCAGGAAGCAGCCTTAGACTTAGCAGAAACCCAACTCATTTTGGAAAAATGAGATGAGACAGGAAAACAACAGGTTTACAAATACCTCCTGGGCATACAGATGGGCATCTTGAGGATCAGGAAACCAGCACCAGCCCATGGAACCGGGAAAGCAGCTTCTTGGCGAGGAGAAGACTCCCCGTAGAAGCTTTGGGAGGTGCACCTGCCCCACAGGCCCCCTCCTCGGTGTAGAGCTGACGGCCCGGGGCAGGGAATAGGGGGAGGCAGGGGGCATCCTGGGAGCTGCACTGGCTCTCCCCAGAAGTGGGGCAGGCTGCCTTTTGCCATCAGCATAGAGGTTTCACCCCTACGCTGGCAGGGCCTGGCATGCCGCAAGGGCCTCCAGGGAGCTCGGGTGCTGGCTCCGGAAGGCCCGAAGGATTCGGTCCCCCCAGCCATGCCATTGCATGCTGGTTTTCGCTGTGTCCCGGGGGAGGCACCACAGCCTGCTGCAGGTGAGTTCACGGAACTTAGCCATGTGTCTGGCTCTTATTACCAGAATTAGCCCTGACTCGACTGTTGGTGCCTGTTTCTGTGGCGTTGAGCATGAATAACGAGGCCGATCTGTGTAACAGGATTGCTGTGAGACAGAGTGCGGCCACAGGGCTGAGTCTCCCCGCCGCCTCCTGGTGAGCACGGGGCTGCGGAAGGCACTTCTCTTCTCCATCAAGGCCGGAGCAGGTTGCAAAGACCGGGGGCCAGGCCTGTGGGCTGAGAACCTCACCCACAGATGGGCTGGTCCGAGAGCTTCCTGCAAAACCTTGGCTCTTTGGAGCCTGCTTTTTCCGTCTTTGAAATGATAACTGGGTTTAAGGAGGTGGCCAGCTCCAGCCTCTAAGCCAGATCCTGCCCTCACCTATTTTTGTCAATAAAGTTGTAAGAAACATGGCCACTCCCTGTCATTTATGGATTGTCCTGCTGTCAGTGCATTTCACACTGTGACTTCAGCATTGAGCAGGAGAGACAGAGGCCCTAGGACCCTCACAACCTGAAGTGTTTATGACCTGGCCCTGTATGGGGGACCCTGGGTGACTCCTGGGGGAGAGCAGCCCTTCCCTGGGGGTTCTGTAGAGAATCCATTCTGTAGTATGTCACCAGGTGTTATAGCAGAAAGTGCGACGCCACGAACACAGGCCCGTAACGGGTGGGGGCAGGTCAGCCGGCTCACCCCGCCTCCCTCTCCACCGTCAAGCCAATCTTATCCAGAAGCCTAGGGCTCAATGCAGAGAGGGGGACACAGGGTTTTCAGGAAACCAGGGATGAAGCCAGGGGGGGTGTTCTGACCCCCACGGGGTGTGTGCCCGGGTGGCCCTCTGGCCACCAGTCTGCTGTGGCTCCCTGACTGCCCTCTGCCACCCCCACCGGCCTCCTGGTCCACAGTTTGGAGAATTATTAGCAAATGTTACGTGCGTCTCATGTCTGGAAAAGCAAGGTGGGCCTCTTGCAGCACCGAGAGGCAAGCCATGCAGGGGCCCCGCGACGGGGCGGCCGGGCACAGATCTGCCCTCCCCGGGGCCCGCCTGCTGCCCTCCCTGCTTTTCCTGCCTGCTGGCCCTCTCTGCCCCTCTGCCCGCCCCCTGCTTCCCTGCTTCCCTTCCACCCACCTGTCCCGCCCACGCCCTCCTCTCTCCCTGCCCTCCTCCCCCCGCACCCCCCATGTTCTGCCCTGTGGTGTCCTGCCTTGTTGTGAGATGCATCACAGGGGAAGTTCTGCGCTAAGTTTTTGGGGAAACGAAGCAAACTGTGGCTCTGAGGGGCTGGAGCCCCCACCCTGGGCAGGCAGAGGGGTGACATTTCCCGTGGGGTCACCCTACCTGGCCAGCTGGAAGCGCAGCGAGGTTCGCGGGTGGTACATCTCCAGGGCGGCGATGAGGTCAAAGGCTGATGGCGCCAGCATGGTGACGAGCGAGACCACCACGCCCACCTGCCCGAGAGTGAGCGCCAGACATGAGCTCCCCGGCTTCCGCCTGTGGGCCCCCCGTGCTCAGGTTTGGCCAGTGGGTGTTCACAGGGACTTGCAGCTCTTACGAGAACTTCCCTCGAATCTCTACAAATGAGCCATTTCCAAAAGGTCACTTTATGGTGGTTTATTCCCCTTAGGAATTCTCCTTCACCTGAGACACGCTCGCCTGCCATTCGGGATTCACTCGCCTTCCAGCCCTACTTCCCAGTGACCACGTTATTCTACTTGTACTTCCTGGATCTTGGATGGCAGGTGGAAATAACAGTAACTATTAAGAATAGACAAGGGAAGGCTGAGAGGTAATTTAATATTCTTTGTGTGCATGGAATGTTAGTTGTCTAGAGAATTATGCCTGCCTCTTGTTTCTCTGTTCTTAGGGAAAACCAAAGAGTTGTCGCTGGTGCACAAGAGATGTGAGATAAAGGAAGAAATAATTTCTTAATTTATCTTCAAAAAATTTATCTATCCCTTCCTACCTATCAACACACAAGCACAGATTTACACAACCCACTTAACTGACCTAAAATAGAAAGAGGTATGTGGAAAGGCTAGCTAATGTAGTCTGGGATTTGGGGAAGTTATTGCACACCAAAGATATCACCTACACACGTTGCTTTTTAAATCCCGAGAATGGTGATCATTTTCATAGAAGTGGTCTGAAAGGTGGCATTTGTGCTATTTCTGCCTTTCAAAGCTTGACAGGTAAATTGAACCAAGTCTCAGGGACAACAGTCTTATGATACTGAGATTGTAAATATAATACTGAGATCGTAAAATTGCTCATAACCTTCCTCTTGGTGATTTTTCTGTTCACAGGAATATTCATACAAATGGAGGGAAAGGATGTTTGGAATGATAAGCCGTGGTGTGGAGCTGGTTCAGGAAGCGTTCGTTATTGGTAACATGGAAGCCACCGCAGTGCTCAGCGATGGGCACACGGGCAGCTTTGACAATGCGGCGGGACACGGCGTCGTCTCTACCGCAGGTCTGCAGGTGAGGTCGGTTTCTGGAACCGTGTACTCGAAGAAACACCACGCGAGAAAAGCAGAGTTGGCGAAAGTCAAAGGGGAAGAACAGCGCGGGTGCAGGAGGGGTTTTGAGTTAAAGTCTTCCCCGCTGGAGGGCAGTGAGATCACCCAGCCAGCTCTTGGTGTCACCGCTCGGCTCCAAGTCCCTGGGGTCCCTGCTCTAGGACAAGGGACTGCCATTTCTAGCTAATCCATGTGAGACACACCCAGGGGGCAGAGGGCAGGCCCCTCTGTGCCTCCCCAGCCGGCAGCACGCAGGAAACGGGGGGACGGACGGTACCTCATTCTTTTCCCAGAGGGTCAGCTCCTTCTTGGACTGCTCCAGCTTCTGGGACCGGTCCACCACAAAGTAAATGAGGTAAATGCTCCCAGCCAGCGAGACAAGCACCAGGATGTTGGCGATGACCCTCAGGCAGACGGTCACTGCCCTGCGGGGAGAGGGCGCGAGGTCAGCTCACTGGGTTCTGCTCAGGGCCCTGAGGTGCACAGACAAAGACCTGTTTGGCCTGTGCGGTCTCCGCGCTGAACGACCAGTGCCCCCCACCACCACCCCCGCCCCCCAGAATTCCTCATTTCCTAAGTGACCAGCGATGACTTACAGACCCAACCAGCCAACGTCGGTGGGCTCGGAATGGGCCCACACACACGGGCCCGGGGGGCTGGGGGCCTGGGTTTCGGTCCCTGCTTTGCCCCCTAGGGCTGGGGTCCTGGCACGCGCAGGGAGCCCTGGGGGCCCAGCGGCCAGAGGAGGGAGGCAGAGGGGCCTGGCGGTTCCCTCTCCTTCCCTGTCACCGGTGCGCAGTCCCGCCCGGCGCTCCCTGGCAGTTCACCACCTGTCTTTTCCCTCCGGAACATGAGCTCCCCGGTTTCCTAGTCCCGTCAGGGCTGTGCATCCTCAGCTCTGGGAACAGGCCCAGTGCCTACAAGCCCCGTAGTGTCTGCTGGGTGCTCTGAACTGCCAGGGAGGTGTGCTGGGGGCTCGCCTCCCTCTCATTCGGCCTCACTTCCTGCACGTCTCAGCGTGTGAGTAGACCTCTGGGTCTACGCTGATTTACGTTTACAAGTGCATTTCTGGTTTTAACTGAAAACGTCCACTTTTTCTGACACTGGAGCGAAACCCCCTGTCTGACTCCAGCTGGCTTATTTGTAAGGCATCTCCTTGTTTGGGGCCAGTGTTAGCTTTGGTTTCCCTCAAGCGGAACCTGGGCAGGGCCTGTCTGCAGGTAGTTGTTTGGGAAGTGGCCCCAGGAAGCCCAGGGAATGTCTGGGGTGAGGTGGGCAGTCAGTAGAGCCTGTGAGGTGGAGATGGTCAGGCCGGGGGGGCCACAGGGCCTGCGGGGGGCCTCCGAGTCTCAGACTGTCTGCCCACCATGACCTGGATGCACTTGTCCCCGTGGGTCAAGGGTGACTCCGCGAGCGTTAGCCCCCCGATGCGGCCAGGCACTCCCGAATCGAACGGGGGACGTGGGCTTGTCCCCCCGTGCAGGAGGGCTTTGGACAAGGAATCCCTGAGCCCTGGGGCTGGAAAGCCCAAGACAGAGCGAGGCCCGCCCACGCCATCCCGGTGCCCTCCCGCCGTCCTGTCCCAGACCGTGCTGCCATCCTCTGCAGGGTCGTGCTGCCACACGGCCCCCTGACACATCAGCTTTTCTCAGACTCTGGCAGAATCAGGACGATTCAGGATTTGTTCGCGGAAGAGGAGAAACAGGGTTTCTGCTGGTTCATGTGCTTGTAAGAGAGGCACTGACTGAACGTCTTTGAGCTGAATGGATGCAGGATGCCCGTAGGTTTTCATATTTGAGGGAACATAAAAGCCACTTGTGAGTTTTGCACTGCCAGACCTGCTAAAAATGTGGATTCTTGTGTCCCGCTCCCAAGACCCTAATTCCGGGTCTGGGGCAGGGTCCGAGCTGTCTGCTTCTGCAGCGCCCACAGGCAGGCCTGCGCGGGGGCTCCCCACCCTCAGATGGGCGCCGATGGAGACCCATCCCCTCAGCTCACAGGTGGGGAAGCGGGGACCCCGAAGGGCACGGGAGCTTCCCAGTCGTGGAGGTCAGTGAGGAGGGGAGGGCTGAGCGCCCCTTCCCCCACGGAGCGTCCTTCCCGCCGCCTGCTTCCTCGCCGGGCCTGGTGTCACAACTCTGGGTGTCCCGGGCGCTCCTCGGGACGGGCTTTCCGCATTGCAGGCGCTGCTCCCTGACTTTGGGGCCTGAACCAGCGAAGGCATCGAATGGGCCAGTGAGGACAGGGCATAGCCCTTCCTGGGGGTGGCCCTTCAGGGTCAGCAGGACTGGGGCTGAGGGGCCTCCCCACCACCAAGGTAGCCCCCACCTCGAGGAGAACTCCACGCCTGAGATCACCCGGAAGGCTCGTCAGCAAGAAGTGGGTGCTGTCTGGGTCTCCTGCTGTCAGAGACTTGTCGCTACATAACAGCAGCCTTACTTACTTTAGTGAACTAGAAATTGGTGCTAAAAATACCTCTTTCATTATCTAAGTAAGAGAACAGGAAACTGGTCAACTTCAGACCACTTGGCTCGGCCGCATGGAAAGAGGAACCACCCCAAATACTGCTGCTGAGAAATGACCGGCTCCCACACAGCACGTTTCCAAGAGGGCAGATTTTAGGAAGAAAAAAGAGCTGCCTGACTGTGTGAAAATAAGATACAAATCGCCTGCTAGTGTTTGTACCACCTTGAAAGAGCGTGTCAGCGACCGCAGCACGGGGAGGCGTATACGTACAGGCTTCGCTTTTTCTTCTTCTCCTGCTCGTCCACGATCGCCTCCTTTAGGGGAAGACACACGGCACGTCACAGCTTAGCTTTGTCAGTGGTCACAAATCTCCAGAAGTATTTGTAAGAAGCAATTTATCCAGTAATCTTAACCATGACTTCACCGTCCAGACTTCACTCTGTCATTATATTAATATCACTGCTTTGTATCTTAATAAATAGATAAGAAAAAGGAAGTTGAGTGCTGGGAAGAGGAGAGGAGGAAATTATTTGGGTACCAGGAATGAGCTGAACTCTTTTCTCAAAAGGGAGCCGGCTGCGCCCCGCGGGCCTGTGGGTCTGGGGGCTGGTGACCGGGCTGTCCTGTGAGGCGACACAGAGCTGGTACCCCCTGCGCACCTGCTTGTGTTCACGCACAAGCTATGGACATGCCATGCAGTGGTAATTCATGTATTTATGAAAAATATACAAATTGAAATTTTAGAGGATGAAAATAGTGAGTGAAAATGAAGAGAAGGTCGGCTGCCTCCTCCTGCACTCCACAGGGCTGCCTGGGGTGTGCTGGGCGATGGGCCTCACCGTGCAGTGGCTCCCCTGGGCGAGCCCCACGGGGGGGAGGACGGCCTTGACCCCGGCCTGGCCTGGCCTCCTGCAGAGGCTGTGCCCTGAGCAGCCCCAGCTGGGCCCCCCGCAGCCCGGCCCCCGACTCACCCTGATGCTGTTGACAATGGCAGCCGCTTTGCTTTCTGCAGCCTCTGGGTTCCCGATGAGGTAGTCCCAGGCGCAGAACACCCGCCAGCAGAAGGTGTAGTTCTCATCGGAGGTGCTGGCCAGGCTCGTGCGGGAGTTCTTGGCCATCCTGCAGGAGGGTGCCCAGGGCGTCACAGGACAGCGTCAGAGCGGGCACGGGCCTGGGGCTTGGGCCTGGGGCGGCTGCACACAGCTGCCCCGGGTGCGCAAGCAGAGATCTGGATTCAGCCCCACTTGTATCCCCACATGTGAAAACTGCAGCCTGTTCTGGGGGAGTGGGAGCATTTGACAAGGGTCCCCAGCGGGTCGCAGAGCAGTGCACCCAGGAGCCAGTCAGCTCCACCTCTGTGCAGCTGGGATTGTGAGGGAAAAGCCTTTCCTTTGAGCTGAACCTGTCTTCTTGGAGCCCCTGCCCACTGAGGGGGGCTCTACCCCATGTCACGGAGCTGCGGGTCCCTCTTGCACATGATAGTCCTTTAGATGCATTTGCAGGGAGGGGGTCACGATCCCTTCTCAGGGCAACGTGCACCTGTCCTGCAGAGCGGTCCTCCCGTTATGAGCGTCTACCTCTCCTCTCCGTCCATAATTCTTGCTCCGAGTTTGCTTCAATTTGTCTGAATCTGTGGCCTCTAGCTAAGGGGCCTGTCTTCTAGGCGGGCTCTCTGGAAGCTAAGCCAGAGATCCCCATGTGAACCGGAGGCCCCAAGTCACTGCGTCTCCTCAGGTCCGATGGAGAGGCTGGTGTGCACGTCTACCTGCACTTGGCAGAGATGCCCTGAAGCGTGAGGTGAAGGACACACACACCAGCGGGTGCAGATCGGGGAAGCAGCAGGTGGCCCCGGGGCGGAGCAGGACCTCCCTGGCGGGGCCTCTGCCTGTCTGCAGTTACCTGGCTCCCACCCAGGCCTCAGACTGTGAGAGCCGGCAGTGGACCTGGCAATCCCCTGGGCCCACCTGCCGCTTTGCAGAGGAGGCCAGACAGGGAAGGCTGCTGGCAGCGGGGCGGCAAAGGGCGTGCCCACCCCCACCCTGCACGTTCGCTTTTCTGCACCATGCTTCCTGCCAACGGTGGACCCCACGTGCGACCTGCATCACAGCACAGATGGACCCAGGCTTTGCAGGTCTGTAGCTCCGTCACTGGCACACGCACAGCCAGGAGGGCGTTTGGTTCCTGCATCCCCTGGTCACCAAGGCCTCTGTGAGTGCAGCTACCACACCGCCTGAACTCACACCAGCTGGCAAGCCTGTACTAGTGGAGTCTCTCCAGACCCATCAGAGAACCCGGCACCAAGTAGTAACTGCTCATAAATGTCAGCCAAAAGAGCGTATCTCTTAGCCTTGGTCTCCTCATCTGTAACTTGGATGCTGTTAGGGTTTAACTCACAGGGTTGTTGACAAGATTAAACTACATATCATTCTTGACACCTATTTTGAGAAACCGGGCAGCCATACTTTTTCAAGAGGATGACGAAGCTGTATGCAAACACCGCCATCCCCACCAGGAAATAGGCCAAGGGCAGCCGGTAGCCAGCCCTCCCGATCCTCCGCTCCCTGCCGTAGTAGCCGTAGAAGAGGACTGAGTACTGGAGGTAGCCCTGCAGAGAGAGGACTGCATGTCGTTTCCGGCCCCCGGGTCCCAGGACTGCAGCCCCGTTCCCCCTTCCCTCGAGACGAGTGCGGCCGAGCTGCAGCCTCACCCCCAGGGACCAGACGGTGTCCAGGTCCTGGGCAGATGCAACATGCTCCTTGGGGATGCGCTTGCGGGCCGTGCTTCCGAAGGGCTGCCCTGCAATGAGCTGGGGAGAGAAAAGGATGGCTTGTGGTCCTTGGGAGTGGGGGGGACCGAAGAAAAGGGGTGGCTGATGTTCACGCATCCGGGATGCTGCACGTCAGACACCGAGGGGGTGGATTTCGGCTTGATTCCCACTGGTGGGAATCGATCTCGGGTGACCAGAGTTTCTGTCTGCCTGGTCAGGGCCTGCCTGGGTGTCCTCTCTCTGGGCCGGACCTGGTTTCTATGGGCAGATTTTTGGGGTCACTGGATTTCTGGAATGACATGGGAACTAGATCCAGTTACTCTGAGGATGAAGTTCAGTTGAAAAATGGGTTTTGTTTTAACAAGATTGGCAAAACGGCCCATAGGCCAAATCCAGCCAGTCGCCTCTTCTTATATGGCTTGAGAGCTAAGGACGGTTTTTGAATTTTTAAATGGTTGGAAAAAAATCAAAAGAAGAAGAATATTTTGTGACACATAAGGAGGATGTAAAATTCAAATTTCAGCATCTATAAATAAAATTCTGTTGGAACACAGCCACACTCACGCGTTTACTTTCTGTCCATGGCTGCTTTTGTGCCCCAGGGAAGGTCTGAACAGCTGTGACGGGAACAGCCGGGCCCACAGAGCCCGGAGTGCCCACTATGTGGCCCTGTATGGAGGAAGCCTGCCACGCCCTGCCTCACAGACCATCCTCCCCACAAGGACCGGGGAGGCCACCGGTGCTCTGCTCTGACACCTCTTCTTTTAAAAGGCGCTTTTTTTCTCTCCCGAAATAGCTCTTACCTCTGGAATAACAATGAAAGCACCTGTCATAACTGTGAGCACAATATTGATTCCAAACAGCCATCGCAAGAATATGAAATAGGAGGCGACACCAGAGCCGAAATGACCTAAACAGAGACAAGGGGATGAGAACAGGTCATGGAAAACGCTCCTCGTGCAAGTTCTCCCATGGCAACACCCACTTTTCCCACACCTGCGGGACACAGACGAGGCACGCCAGGACGGCGCGTTCCCGAGAGGGTCCTTTACAGGGGCCAGCACTCTCCTCAATATCTACCAGGTGTGTATGCAGAAAAGAAATCCCTGTTTTAATAATTTCCCAATGATGTCTTCATTTAATTTATATCCTATCTATGTTCAGGAGAATTTGATGTATCTCTTTCATGTTGCACAGTTTTGAGAATTCCAAGGATTTTTCTAAGGATCCCTTTGTCTTAATTTCAAGATAATTAACAATTCACTAGATGTTAACATTAGGGGAAACGGGGTACAGGGCTTGTGGGAACTCCCTTTGCAACGTTTCTTTACATGGGAGCTTATTCTAGAATAAAAAAATGTGTTTAAGAATAAATTTCTACTGAGGAAATAAGGGAGCCTAGAGGAAGTTAGATGTTTGATGACTTTCTAGAAGGGGAGATTTGCACCATAATTTAAAGAGTAAAGCCTCTTGAAATTTTATTTCAAATCCAGTGTGTGTTTGCCATAGTAGGAAATCACAAAAAATCACAGAGAACCAACAAAATGTAGCACTTCCAAGAAGATCAAATTAAAATCACTATTAGAATTAGCTTAAACTTTGAGTGTTACCCTCCAATCCTCTTCTGACTGTATGCATTTTTGTATAAAATTGACATCCCTCTGTAGTAAACATCTTGAGTTACCAATATATTACAAGCATTGTCTCATGCAAAAAACATTCTTCTATGAAATGAATTTTACTGTTCCTTCAAATGGGTTTCTCACAGTTGATTTAACCTACCCCTCACCCCTGACGTTTAGGAAGTTTTCAACCTTTCAGTAGGTAAGGTGTTCAGTAGGTACGAAACTGCGCTAAGTACCTCCTGTCTAAGGTTCCTAAAAGCAGAGCCTGAGAAAAGGATCTGGCTCACATGGTACGCTGAGGTGTGCTGTCAGGAGAAAGGCGGCAAGCGGGTCAAGGGAGGTCAGGGAACAGGGCTGAGGTGTGGCTTCAGCTGGATCCCCGCTTAGCCGGGCCCTATGGGCGCTCTGGAAGGCAGGTTGGTCCCATCTGGAGCAAGGGTGGGGTATGAATACCCCCCAGTCAGTCACTGTCCCTTGGCTCTCCAGCGGGGCTGGAGGGCACCCTCTGGAATGATGCAGGCCAGGGGCGATTCTCTAGAGAACGGGGCAGCTGTGAGCCATGGCAGTGAGCGCTCAGAGCAGCGGAGAAGAGGCGGCCGGCCGAGTGCCCGGATCCGGGTGGGGCACCGACCGCATCGTGCAGCCCTGTGCATTGATTCTGCTCTGGCATCCTTCTCCCCGATTGTTAAGGACTGGAAGGGTTTATCCAAGTATAAACATTTTGAAGACTTTGGGTACAAAGTACAACTTTCCTCTAGAAATGTACATTCCCACCAGTTGTGCACAAAAGGGCTAAATTCCATTTAAATGCTGAAAATGGATTTTCCCCCCCTTGTTTTGTCCTGGAACCTCTAGCTTTGTTTATTATTTTTATGTATATTATTTTAGTATGTAAAATTTCTTTTATATGTAATTGAATATAGCAGTACTTTCCTTGATGAACTACTTGTTCATTATTTAATTAGGCAGGCTCCCATTCTGAGACCCCCATTACCTGTGTTTCCTTTAATTCTTTCATGGTTTCCTATTTTATATTTAAATGCTTACCGGAACTTTAAAGCGAAGGATCTAATGCGCGCTTCCAGTTGGCTGCCTGGTGCAGCACTGCACTGCGCCGCGCCCGTTCCTGGGGCTTTGACGGCTTATTGGAACATTTTGGTGCTGACAGTCATTTGCACTTTTCCTTAAAGAAGTTTTTTTTTTTTGATTAGTCTCTGGGACATTGAATCTTCCATATAAGTTTTATGATCATTTTGTTGAATACAATAAAACATTACACTGAGATTTTTTTTTGAACTACATTAAACATTTGTAGGAAAAATACTGGGAAAATCAATTTTTTGTTTTTATCCTGGGGTCCAGTTTTATAGTTTTGTTTATTTCAGACTTACTGTTGAGTTTCTTCCTGGTATTGTGTGTAGGTTGGTCAATGTGATTGTGAAGGCGATTTATTTATTCTGGGGGCTGTGTCTTCTAAATGGTTCCTATCAACTCTGAGAAAGTGCATCTTTTTGTATTTTTATTTTGCAACTGCCCCTGGTAGCCTCTTACTCACCCACACAACTGTTTACTCACTCCTTCGGGTTTGTGTTGTGTCTGGCCAGTGAATGAGCTGACAGAGAACAGCAGAGCCATGGAGGAATGTGGAAGGGCAGAGGCTGGGATGGTCCCTGTCCTGGGGCGTGGTGGGGACAGACTCCCATCACCCACTCCACTGTCCCACACCCAGGCTGGGTCTGCACCCTAGGTGGGTGCCCCTGGCCGAGCAGGGTGAGGACCAGCCATACAGACCCTTCCGGGCCTCGCTGTCAGCTGGCCCCTGGGACTGCACCCCTCCACCCCTCTGGATGCCAGCACTTACTCTCAATTTTCTTTATCCTCATTTCCCAGGGAATGAAGATGACCACAAAGTTACTGGCAAGGCGAGCAAGCTTCCGCCAGAGCTGCGGGGGAGGCAGAAGGGGAGAGAGCTTTACAGTCATGGAGGCGGCAAAGGCCTCAGGGTGCGAGGGCCCTGAACGAGCCGGGGTTCCCAGACCCACCACATGGTGCCTTTAATTGTGGCTTCACAGCCTTGGGCAGCTGTAGGACCAACACAGCACCCGGCCCCCCAGCCTGTCTTCTCTGTGCTCCTGCCCAGGGATGGCACCTGCTTTGGGCCCCGGTGTCTGCATGAGGTGCGTTTTCTCTGGAGTCACAGCCTGCCTGTCCCCTAGCCTTTCTGCTGCAGGGACGGAGAGCAGGCCCCACTGCAAAGCACTTGAGGAATGGCGTCCAAGCACACGGCTTGGCCGACCCTGGGAAGGGGCCCAGGAATCCACACGGCCAATGAACCCTCGGTGGTTACCACTCCCAGCCCTGCCTAAGGATCAGGGGTCCAGAGCACACCCTGAAGACGAGTCCCAGCCCGTTGTGTGCCCTGCATCCTGTAGCCTTCCTCCTGGCCAGAGCTGCCCGCCAGAAGGTCTGGACATTTGCCTTGTGTGTTTGATGCAATTGCCAAAAGTTTAAAAATCTTAATTTTCCCTGGTCCTAGTGTCTCACACAGTGCAAGCTGGCATCCGGGGTGGAGTTTGTACTCAGGGGGAAGTCAGCCGCCGGCCAGTCCCTCATATGGGGCACGTGGCCCATTAGGACTGGGGGCGAAGGCTCTCCTAAACAAGGGGGTCAGGGAAGGTCTGCCCAGGGAGGCCATACTTGGGCTGAGACTTGAAAAGGAATCAATATTTCAATAAATAATAGATCATTAGAGGAGCTACGTAGAAGGGGAGAAGCAGGACGAGTTGGCGGGTTAGCCCGAGCTGGGCGCTTTGCAGCGGAGGGGTGGGGGGGAGGGAGGGGAGAGCCCATAGGCAGGCGATGGGCAGACCAGGCAGGCCGAGCCAAGGGGTTCGGACTCAATTCTGAGGGTCAGGAAAGCCTGTCACGTGTCTACCCATCGACCTGCCATCTATAGCCGTGGCCCCCTGTATCTATCTCCTGGTGCTCCAAGTAAGGGGCTCATGGGTGGCTCACTGCCTCGGATTGCCCCAGCCCTGTGGGGAGAGAGGGCAGTGCCGGGGGTCCTGAGTGGAAGCAGGAGGGCCTGGTGGGAGGCCAGTCAGCCCACATGCCACCACAGGCAGGTGCCCTTAGCTCCCAGGCAGTGGGACTGTTCCTGCCCAGTCACACCCTGAAAGCTTCCATGGGGTGACCTCCCTGGTCGGCATCGTGGAGAAACAAAGGATATAGGATTTTAGAACTAGAAGGATTTTAAGAATCAAACGTCAAAACCACATCGCTTTCAAAGTCATCCCCCGGAGCAGGGAAGCGAGAGAAGGACCTGGTGGCCTGCCCTGTGCTTGCTGTCCCGTGTGCCCGGCAGCATTTCCCCGACGTGGCTTCCTGGGTCCTGGCGTCTCACACACTCAGACCTCACTTTCTTAAGCAACACAGAAATGTGTTTGTGCTAATGGCAGACTGTCTGAGGCAAGACGCTTTCCTTCTAGAATGAAGCAGAAACCTATGGGAACGGAGGATGCAGGTGGGGGGCGGGCAGGTGGCTCCAGAGGACCTCCTGTGTTCTGGGGCGGTGATTCCCAAGGGAGGGCAGAATGGCAGCGCCCATGGTGGTGATCAGATCTCAGTGGTGGGAGTCATGGGAGCATAGGAGTTCATATTACACAAAATGTCCTACTTGGAAAAGTCACCATTTTTATAATATAAACCAGAGACTCTAAGTAGAGACAGAACTCATGAGGCTGCGGCAGTACTCATGCAGGGACAGACACCTGCTCCTTCTCCTCTCTCCTTTGCAGGGTGCTGGGCCCTATAAACATGTCCAGGGTTATAGAAACTTCTAAATATAGAAAGGGACTGGAATGCTGTTCTGAATGGGGGAGGGAAGAAGTGACGTGTCAGGAAGACGTGCTGGGGCGGGAGCATCTGCAGAGGCCGGAGAAGTCACCTCTTCACGCCCCCCACCCTGCGCCCCAGCACGAAGCATGGACTGACCCCCGATCTTCAGGGGCTCGGGGGACGGGACAGACGCAGCTGGTAAGTGCTGGCTGGACCTTCCGGGGAATCCTAGGTGAGCATGAACGTCCTGGGTACCGGAGGGCGGCCAGTAGGTGTTGGCGGGCTGGCTCAGGCTTTACCTTTCTCATCCTGGAAACTGCTGCTAATAATGCAGCCCGTTATCAAGGCTCCCTTACTCCATACGGAGCTTCACTGGTCCTGAAAGTCCTGCTCCTTTTTCATTGTCACATGTACTACAGGCTGTCTGAACTCTGAACTCAAGTGGAGGACCTTATATTATTTCACAAATGTTTTCCTATAGCATTTCACAGTTTATTTAGAGAAAATAAGGAGAGGGCTTGGTTGCACGTAGGCTCATAAGAGGATACTTTGTTTCACATGCTCATTCCTTAGGCATCTTTGCAGTGTGACACATATAGGAGACATGGACAATTTGGGTCAAAAGAAGGGCCTAGAGTTTTCAGGCAGCATCTGTGAGGAGTAAGAAGGCAGAAAGGCTAGGAACTACTTGCCATTCTTCATGTTTTATAACTTTTCAGTGATGTAAAATTTATAACCAGCTTTCACTGAAACTTTATTTTAAGAATACTTTTTATTTTAGGGACTCTAAAAGGTATGCCTCTATCAGTGTTCAGAAGAATACGCTTTTGAAAAATACCATTTCAACACTGGTAGGATATCATGAAAACAGGAAACTGTCTCACTGTGGATGGCAATCTAAATTACCAAGACTTTGCAAAAATCATTTATTAATATTTATCAAGAGTCAAAAATAGGAAACATATTCTTTTCTACATGAATTAATATGATTATAGTTCTGACATTTATCCTAGGAGAGGAATTAAGAAAGATGGGAAAAGCTCTATGTGTCAAGGTAGGTTATTAGTGAAAATTATAAGCAGTTTAAATATTCAGCATAGGCAGCTAATTAAGTTAACACACATTTATCTGACAGGATATTACTTAGTTGTTGAAAAGGGAAGCATAAAAACCACATAGCAATATGGAAAAACCCCTGCTATGGGGTTAAGTGAAAAGAGGAGTAATTTTGTATAATGTGAAAATTATATGTTCAATAACTAAAATGTGAGATTTTTACAAAGACACTATATTAGGAAGGAGGAGGTCAAAGGAGGAGAAATGATTTTGTTCTTTGTCTTCTAAACATTTATGAAAATTATTGTAATGTCTTTATAGATAATTTTAATATGTACTGAAGGTTAGCTTTCAGTAACTGAATGGGGAAAACAACAAAAACCTTAGTGTATTAAAAAATGAGCATCAGAAGGTGCCTCTAACTTTCTCATTATAAGACATGCAGTGAATAAAAGCTGCACATATGGGCGAGACTAAGTCAGGAAAGATGCTCGGTCACTCTCCCAAGGGAAGTTACTCTTTTTCTGATGAATCAGGCTTACCCAGGGTCAGCTGGGAAGTGATGGCATCTAGGATTAAAATGTTAAGTTTTGGGAAATGCAGCCCTTCCAGCTCACCGTCCCGCTCTACAGAGGGTCGTGAGTGATGCCGACAACCCGGGCCTAGTGCAGCAGCGGCCGGGCACCCCCAGGCGAGCCCCTACCTCTGCGCCTGCTGCCTGGTAGCCTCGGGTCCTGGTCAGCCTGCCTTCGAACTTCAGCACCATCTCCTTTGCACGCCTGTGAGAGGAAAAGCGTGACGGTGAGCACCTCAGTTAGAATCATGGCAGAACATGTGAACGGGCAGCAAGACGAGGCGGGCGGACAGCGCAGGACACTGTGCTGGGGGGTGGGGGTAGTTACTCCCTTCTTTCCTGACTTTTGGTAACCAGAAAGCTCCTTCAAAATGGTGTTTGTTAACATTTATATGGATGAATTCATGGGAAATGATGAGTTGATACCCAAATCAGTTAGAGCTGAACGTGTGAGAGCCCTTTCCTCTCCTGCTTGGCTGGGAATTGTCAACCTTGGGCATCTGCGCCGCAGGCGCGGTGTCAGGCCCTGCACCTGTCCCAGCAGCCCTCCACTAGCCGGTGAGAGCCAGACCCGGCTTCAGAGGGTCTGCTTCAAGCGAAGGGGGGTGTCTCATCAACATAAGCAAGAAAGTCGGGTCTGCATAGCCACGCACAACCCGCTCCAGCTGGCACAAGCCCCTGATACGCTAACTGAGATGTTACACTGGAGATCAGGTGACGTCTGACTCTGTGCCTAAATGATGAATTCCTGAAACGGACTGAACTCACTGGGATAGACGGTGAAGTCCACACCTAAAGGAACAACAGGGTTAGAAAATCAGTGCTAGTGCCACGGGGCAGAAGTCCAAGCCTCCTGGAGCTGACTGCCACCTTCAGGGTGACGCCACGTGATCCTGCCCTGATGAGGCCCCCTCACTGCCCCTGGCCGGCCACTTCTGGGTGACATTCAAGGCTGAAGAGCTGAGTTCTTCCGAGTCGTTCATCCTGTTGCTTTGACCTGCTCACTGCTGGGGAGATCTTGGACATGCGTGCGGTGCAGCCTCCCCCTGACTCTGAGGCACGGGAAACCAGCTGACTCTTCCGTGAACGGAGGGATCGCTTCAAAACAAGACCCGGCCGAGGGCTGGGATCTGGACCTCTCTGCCCTCACGGCTGCCAGGCCCTCTGCACAGCCCAACAGCTGCGGGCAAGCCTGAGGGCTGCGTCCTACCCTGCAGAGCCTCGAAAGACAGAGGCCCATAAAAGCGAAATAATCATTCATTTCATGTAGTTATTTAATTTTTTTTCCACCAGTGTTTTCTGTGCAATTATTTTGGGTCAAGCAGAGTGGAATACAGAGGAGCATGAAGCAGTCACTGCCCTGGAGGGCCTGCTGGCTAGTGGGTGAAGGACACCTAAAGCCACGATGACCAAGACAGGGGGTGGGCTCTGTGCTCGGGTAGAAGGACAAGTGGGGTGCTGCGGAGGCAGGGAGGCCCCGACCTAGCCTCGGCCGCCACAGACCAGTGTCACTCCAAGGACACTGACCACCTGCTTCCCTACGAGGGCAACAGACTTGTGCTGCGTCTCCCAGACAGGCGGCTGTTGCTCATGCTCAGAGCCGGAGGCCCTGCTTCTGTCTGTGTCAGCAAAGCTACTTTGATCCCCGAGCTGTCAGGCTTCAGTGCCCTCCATGGAGGCACCTCGGGGCCCAGCTAGTGAAGCATGGCCCCCATGGCTGCCCAAGGTGCTGGGAGAGGAGCTGGGTGACAAGAGGATGATAAGCGAGGTGCTCAGGGGACGGCAGCTGCTCTCTGAGAGTCTGCCCGCTGGCCAGCATGTTGGTGGCATCGCCATTTGGTGACACAGCCTCGCACCATGGCAGACAGCCTGGGGTGTCTTGTTTCCAAAGTCTCTTCACAGAAAAGTTGTCATTTGCTCTGTGCCACCTGCAGGTTAAAAAGGCTTTGCCTCTCACTAAGCATAAGTGATCAGTAATCATTCATCATCAATAACCAATCATTAGTGTTTCTGATTGTTAAAAACTGGCTGAAAACAAAGGACTGCTTTTTAAGATGAACTGCTCTGATTAATTACTTCGGGGGCGTTCCTGTTCAGTGGAGCAGAACCCTGGAGGTGGGTCAGGGAGCCCAGGTTTAAAGCTCATCCCAGTGCTCAGAAGCTGTGTGTCCTGGGTTGAGCCACTTAACATCTCTGAGCATCAGTCTTCTCATCTGAAAAATGCCATCCTTCCTCAAAGAAACAGGTGATGAGAGCCGATAACCGACAAGGAGAATTAATTGGAAACTTCTAAGAGTGACAGCTGTGGGACTGGTCCCGTGTGCATGGTGGGTGCCTGGAGTTCAGGTGCCACGTCTCCATCGCCAGGAAGGCCCACTTCACAGGCTGGGGCAGCTCCGTGGTGCTGATCACTAAGATCGTTCTGTTAACTCCCTGCACGGCCACCCCAGGAGTCAGCGTCACCAGCCATTCCTCACTTACAGGGTTACAATCATAGACCAGATACAATGCTGAGCACACTCATGGTTTATCTCCCTTATTCCTTCAACAGCTATCAGTGGATCTTGAACTTTAGGATGTGAATCGACTGAATGGATGTTCGAGATACTGGAGGCCTCTCTCAGTTTCTGACTCAGTAAGGTCCGAGTAAAACCAGAATTTTCAATGATTAATAGGACTCTGGAGGCTGGATGCTGACATTTTTGGAAACGTGGCTGCAGAAGGCAGGTGCTCTGTTTCACCACCACTTCGGCTTTAAAGAGAAAGGGGCTGGTGGGAGGAGAAATCAAGAAAACTCCCCACTATTGCACAGCTAGGGATTGGGAGAGGCAGCATTTGAACTCAGGCAACCTGCCCTCACCCCTTCCGCCGTTTGCCATGATTTAAACAGGCTCTCTGATAGGACGCCGAGCCCACAGAGATTCCTCTCCCCCGGAGGAAGGCGAGAGCCACGCATGTAGAATTAACCCCTATCTTTCTTTCTGGGCGAATGCCTGTCTCTGGCGAGTTTGGTTACTTCGTTCACCTCTAGAAACAATGCTAAAATCTAGTGTTTGAAAGCGAGGGAGGAAACCCAAAATGCCCCACTGACACACACGCCCAACCCAGACATGCGCATGCAGACACACGCACAGAGGAGCCGGCCACCCGGAGGCTGTGTGTGGATGGCTGGACCCCTCAGAAATCTCACCAAAGGAGACCAGAGAATGATTCCTGGATAGCAACACCCCTGTGACTTCCCTAAGTCTGGTCAAGAGTGACTGGTGCACTCCTCACGCGGGTCGTCATGCTCCTTTAACGGGCAGGAGGATGTGGTTTAGCGGGAAGCACCCTTGCGGGAAGCCCACACTTGCTGTTGAAGTCCTTACCTCAGTGCCCGCAGCTTCTGTCCCATGGTCCAGGGTCTGCAGCGAATATTTGCCATGAGATCTTTCTGGAACTGTATATTCTGGAAGATCTGCTCTGGATCGTTGCTGTCCCCTGCTTCTTCAGCAGTAAAGCTGTCATCCAAGTTACTGAATGGATTAGGACATTAGAGAGGAAATCTGATTAGTAGAATTGCTTCCAGCAAAGACCTCCGTGCCCTGGGAAGGCCAGCATCTCCCCGCCCGGGGGTCATCTCTGCGAAGTGTGCGTGTGCAGGGCGGCAGACAGAGAAATAGGCCGTGTCGGCAGCTGCGGAAGCACATTCATTGGATTCTATTACTTTGGTGGGTTGCTGAAACAGAGTGGTTTGTCAGGTCAAATGGTTTCACGGATGAAAGCTCCCACCAGAAAATGTCCTAAAAGGAGACGAGAGAATGCTTATGGGTGATTCCTGAATAGCAACAGCTTTTGTGGTGGTGAAACAATTTCTTTTTCAGGCTCCTTGAAATAATCAGATAACTATACAAACAGGCCCCCTCTTGTCCCTCAACTCTGGAGGTAAAATAGATAAAACCGAACTCCATCACCCAGAGACCTCTCCTCACATTCCCCCTTCGACTCATTTGAAGCCCAAAAGAGCAGAATCAGCAGCAATTTCTATGAACAAGACATTAGCTAAACAAATCTACATGGACAAATATTTCAGGGAACTGGTTACGCTCCAGGAGAACAATTTTTCAACATGTAGCAACGTTTATTCCCAGCAACAATCAATATACTAAACCTAATGCAACTTTTCAGGGGTGAGAATATTCAGTGACCACTATTTGATCAATGGTGCACTTAAAAGAAAATAATTCCTTTGCTTTGCCCTAATTCAGTTTGCTTTTACTTACTCAAAGGAGAATTTTCTCCTATTTCTCCAAATTAATGATGCCTTTACAAACATTTAACTATTCAAATAGCACTCCCTACTTCTAATCAGCCTGAAGCCTTTTCCAGCAGGCACCTGATCATGACAGATACACTGTCCACTCTCTCTCTGTCTCCTGGCATTGCCCCATGAGTAAACAGAGTAAAGATGAAGCATGCCTGTGGATGTGGCCACGACAAAGCCAGGCTGGACCCAGCCTTTTGGACTCGGATGCCCGGCCAGTGGGCAGGCAGAGAGCAGCTCAGTGTGCACACTGCTGAGGTCACAGGCCCAGGTGTCCAGGAAGCGAGAGAAAGGGGTCTCTGAGCTCGTGCGCAAGGAGAAGTGGGCAGGATGGGGGCTTTGCCTTCCGGTCAAAGGCGAGTGAGGCTCGGGTGCCCTAGGCCTCCCTACCTTGCACGCCTCCTCTTCTGCCCAGGGACTGGGTGGGACCGGCTCACCTGAGCAGCAGGGACTCCTGGTAGAGGTAGTGCTGGCTGGCATTTCTTCGGATGCCTCTGTAGCGCTGGGACACCTTGGAGGGTTTCATGGGGGCTGACCTGCTGTCAGGGAGCCCCAGGAGTGGGCAGGGTGCTGTGAAGCTGCAGACAAGGGTCTGCTGTCACTGAGGCTTCTGACCAGAGCAGCAAGTGGCCCTGCCCTCCCGCTCTGGCAGCCGGCTGCGTCTGCAGCTGGTGCGGGGCAGGGAGCCGCCAGGAGGCCCGTCAGCATCTGTGATGTGCAGGGGCTGTGGGCGGGGATTGGCTGGAGGCGGGGCCAGCAGGGGCCTGGCCAGGTTGATGAGGGCTCACTGGGCGCTGTCCAGATAATCACATGACCCTTGGGCCCAGATAGGGCTCTGAGGTTTTGCAAAGCATCTTACATGTATTAGGACTGGTGTTCACAAAATACTTTGTCCAGGACTTGCCCCAGTCTCACAATAGAAACCTCTGCTTTTTAATTGACACAGGAAATGGTTGGTTTGCAGTAAGGTTAATTGTACATTAACTGAGTAGGAAGGTGCAAGACTGAAATGGGAGCGGCCCCTCCGTTGAGTTCTCCACTTAGGGCACTGGAGACGCAGCCAGCGGGAGCGTAAATGGATGGGCTGGGCTTGCACAGCGGGGCGGAAGGAAACGCAACAGCTGCTCCTGGTTTGACCACAGAGAGGGACCTAATCACCCATCACTCATCGTCCCTCCCTGTAATTCATTAGCAAGTAATTAGATAAGATTTCTAAATGATTTTTTACAATGAAAGTAATGTGTAGTAATTAAATGAAAACTGGAAACAGTTGGAAAATTATTAACAGGAAAAAAGCCTAGAACCTTTGTTGCTAAATGATGCTGTTAACATTTCCAGGGCTTTACCAAGGGTGTGTTTTCCTTGGTGTTTATGTATTTTGCAATTTTACTGTATGCATGCGTGTCTCTTAACGTTTTCATCAATTTTACGTCTAAAGCAATTTTCATGTTTAAAAAAATCTTCAGTGAACACAATTTCATGAACCAGTGGACCACAGAGTGGACTATTCTATCACATGAAATATTCAATTTTTCTCCATATTTTCTCACACTCCTTATTTTCCTCTTGCATGCATTTTTTGATACCGATGGTTTTTTTCTGCTTTTAATATCATTACCATGAAATTAATGCCATTTCTTTACAGTTAGTTCTCCAGAAGTGAAATTACTGGATGAAAGGGAATAGCGTTTTTAAAAGTGCGGTATGTTGTCGAATGAAAGTCGCTGTCTTTACAGCTCTATTGGTTTCACGTGTTTCCATTATTGCTGGTAAAATGCACTTCCGGTTTGGCCGGCTTGTCTGGCCTCTGTGGTGCCCTTGGCGTGGTTTTTAAGTTTCCTTCTGGAGCACACTTGGCATTCATTTTGGTGATGAGTTCAAGGTGTGGCTGTCAGGAGGGACTCGGACTCCCTTCCCCGGTTCCTCCCAAGGCCCTTCGGTTCCTCCCAAGGCCCTTCGGCTCCTCCGGGCAGAGAGAGGCCGCGCAGGGGAGGCGGCTTTCCGGATGCAAGTGGATCGAGCCTGCGGCGTGCATTTTACTTCCTCTGACAATTTCCTCAAAGGCTTCAGGTATGCTGGGTGATTTTAAGTTAAATCAGCATGTATGTATAGATAAAATGGCTAAAAATCCCTCAAATGGTTACAATTGGAATACTAAAAAATCAGAAAGGATGTCCAATGTCAAAATGGGCCCAAACCATTATTGTCTAGACCGACTGCTTTCAGGATCTCCGTGGTGGGAGAAGGAAAGCAATGCGGGAAAAGGAGAAATGTAGCAAGTGAAACCTATTTGTAAAACACAGAAATTCCTTTCAGTCAAAAAAAAAAATTAGAATTTTGTTATAAATCCCAGTAGCTTTTAACTCGAATCATCAGATGGCTTAGCTTACAGGAACAAGCACACTCATTGCCTACGTCATCAATTAAAGAAAAAAAAATTCCATTCCCCTGCTAAGTGAATTCTATTCTTAGACGTTAATGTCCCCGAGCCCATCTGAGAGGGTGACACAGGCCTGCCACCCACAGCGCGAGCTCCCTGCTCTCAGCCATCAGGCTCTTAGCTCTGGATCTCCTGAGAGAGACTTCCCCATTTCTGAGATACAGTTACATGCCTGCCGCATTGTTTCAGTGACTCTTAAACTCTGTTTGAAGTTTAGATATATTTTTGGGGGTCTGGAAAAGGTTACTTAGGGAAGATGCTCAAGAGTAGATCGTTTCCAGTTTTCTGAATAACAGCTGATGTTGAGACACCAGAGGAATGTTTCTGCTGTTTTGAGTTTCTCAGGAAACACCAGCTGCAAGTAAGTTTGAAACTGGGCGGAGGCTGAGCTGTCCATCTGGGGCCATGCGCCACTTCCCAGTGGGGCAGAGATGGGAGGGTCCTAGAGGGGGCTGCCCGGCTACAGTCGCCCCTGCAGTAAGTGAGCCCCAACAGATGCCCTGGAAGGAGGGGCCGATCATCAGATGGGTCGCAAATGAGATACAAGTCACAGAGCTGCCCTGTTCCGCTCTGTTGCGCTTTCTCAGGCAAAGAAATTCTCTTTCATAGGTGACTAAATCTAAACACATAAACTGTACTAGGAAATGAAAGAAATATCAAACTTTCTCAAAATCTGGGGTAAAGGAAAGCAGTTGAATTTCTTGTCAAGTGACCATGTATAGTTGGCTGTGGTTTTTCTTGAACGATTCTTAGGTTATTTGATTTCCTTACTGTCTGTGGACTTTTAGAAAGCCCAGCCAGGGTTGTCTCTGAGGAGGGGCATATTTGTGAGGGGCCTCAGGGACCCCTTATAAACTCACACTGGCTGTAGATGAAGAGGGCAGGCCAAGGGGAAGTGCCGGGCAGGTGGTCAGTCCGCAGGGAAGGCTCGTGGGTTGGGGATGGTGGTCAGACACTGGCCACATGCAAGGGGGGCGCGGTAGTCCTGGGGACCTTCTAGATGATGGCTGGCATGACTTCATCCAGGAACATGGAGTTGCTGGTGAGTTATGGCTCATGGCTGTTGCCTGAGGACCTTCCCCTGTCCCTCTCCCTCATTCTCTGGCCCTCATATCACTTAATTTAGGACATTACAGGAAGTTTCCCTTGTCAGCTGTTTGGTTTATCTACACTGTATCTTCAACAAGCATGTTGGGATGTGTGTTCTGATTAGTAGCCTTTCTTTATCAGTGTTGTTTACAGTTTTTCCCTTGGCTTTGTGATCCGTGAACTTAGCCTTTCATTCAAGCATCGAGGGCCTGGATCACCCTCATTGCGTACCGTGGAATCCCACTGACCGGGTGTGGATTTGCCAGTTTCCCCTGACATCTTCCCAGCTCCCAGTTCCCTTTGGGGCTCATTATTTCCTCCTATCACCTCAGCTGCGGTTCTGTTTCAGGGACAGCCACTTCGTGTTGTTTCACTAAAAGAAGCAAACACAGTTTAAAAATTACATTTTATTTTCTGTAGCCAGGGAGCTCTTTGTAATAAGAGTTTACGGTAAATCAGGCCCCTTCTCTTCTAGAACCTCCAGCAGCTTCTCCTCTTGGTCAGAATAAAAGTCAAATCCTTACCTAGACCTGCAAGGCTGGGGAAGAGCTGGTCCTTTGATGCTTTCTGAGCTCATGTCCTGCAGTTCAACGCCCTTGCTTTGCAGTGACCACACTGGCCATCGTGTTTGTGGCCTCAGGCCGTTTGCACGTGTCAGAATGTTCTACCCCATGCACGTTCACTTGCCTACAGTCTTTTCTCCTTCAAGTCTCTTTCCAAATGGTTCCTTATCTGAGAGTCTCTGGCTTACCCTGTCTGTAAGCCACCCTCATTTTCTTCTTATCATGCTTTATTTTTTCTCTGTAGCACTTATACTGCCTGATGCTAGCTATGCACATATTCGCACCTGCTAGCCCACCTGTTACAGAACTACACTTTAACAAAAAGTAAAAAAAAACACTTTTATTACATATTACATCTTTCTCTAAAGAAGACAGAATTTACTCTAACGTGTGACTAAGCAAAAATTGAGTCTCTTATTTGTTCCGTGTCTCCTCATCCGTTTCATGTGTGCGTCGACTTGGGGTCAAATCGTCTAGCCACCGCGTGCGGGCTCCACTGCCTGGAGAAGTCGCTGACTGTCCACGAGCCTGTATTTCCTCACCTGTTGGGTGGAAATGACCTTGCCGGGTGGCAAGGACTCAGGATGCTGCATAGGATGTGCCTGGAGGAAACCTGGAGTCTAAAAACTGGCAACTATGTTTTATTGTGTCTGTAGCAACATTGTTGTTTAAACCTCCCCATGAAAGCATGGCTTGAATACTATGAGTTTAGTGATTTTGTGTGAACTATTGTTAGAGCCATTTCATCACCATCATTCGCATTGTTTTAACTTCAGCATCAACGCCTGAGCACAGTGGTCGGAAGCCCCCACTTCCTGATGCCCGACCTGATTCATCGGGGAATTCGCCAAGAAAGCTGACTGCCAGTCTGTCCATTCCATGACAGACGCCCTGCCAGGCTCTGTAATCTTCAACAAATACAAATAAAGGTCTGAAAGTGCCCCCCTTCTAAAAATCATACGAACCTTATAGACAAGCCTGAACAGCAGCCTTTTGTCTCCTTAGAATTTAACCGGGTGTTCGCCCTCCTGCGCTCGGCCGCGGCGGGGGCGGAAGCCTGCCGAGGCCCAGAGCACAGGGATCCATCCCCGGGCTCCCGGGGCGGCGGGCCAGCGGCTGGTGGGGGGCTGACCGGGCCGTCGCCCCTGTGGTCCCCGCCCGACTGACCACTGAGGACGGATGAAGTCTGCTAAGCGGTGTCTTCCATGAAGTTAAAAAGTGAAGACAAACGGGTCTTATTAAACCCTACAATAGGGTCTTATTAAATGTCTGCCCTGCTAATTTGGAAACTGTGATAAAGAGACTTGGCCTATGTGATAGAGAAAAAGTACGATGAAATGCTGTCACCGGGAAATTTTGTAGCCGGCGCACCGCTGATGAGAGAGGCCTATGGCTGGCTTGCGGATGGCCCTCAATCCCGTGGGCCCATGTTTGACCCCCGTGAGCCACCTGCGTGGATGCTGCCACGGCCACTCCCAGGGCAAAGCCAGTGCAGGAGGATCACCCACGAGGCAGGAAATACCTGGGCGGCTGGGAAGTGGAGAGAAAAGGTTCCTGAAGAGCCCAAAGCAGGGAAGTGGTGGGGGTGGACGGCAGGAGGGGCGTAGGTCGGGGTCCCCGCAAGACAAGTCCCAGTGTGGAGACAGAGCTCGGGACCTGAGAAGGGCACCACCGTGAGGACTGGTTGAGGGCGCCCCTCCGAGGAAGGGGGCCCTGACCCGCATCTGGGGCTGCATTTCAACTGGCGAGTCCCCGGGGGCCCCACACAGGGCCTTCTGCTGACCTCACCGGGCAGTGGCTCAGCGTAGCCAAGGAGGGCTGTCTGCTTCTCTGCTGGTTTAACCCTGTGATACACAATCCGGTAAACAGATTAATTTCCCCCGGGACTTCCGAAGCCCCCTAACTGCATTACCATTTCTCTGCACAAAGGAAGCTTAGCCAGAGAACAATTAAGAAGTGGACTTCAAATGGTCTGCAAATGGGCATAAAACAGGGAAGGCAGTCCACGGAGACGGGGAGGGGAAAAATTAACCCAGTTTTGCCTGCTGAAGTCGAGAATTCATTTGTTCTCAAGCGGTGTTAACCCTTTCCTGTCCTTCTCCCTTCTGGTTTCTGGCAGAAATCTTGGGCACCTCGTTTACAACAATTCTGTTTCTCTCCTACCTTTCGGCTCCGCCCTTCCAATCCCAGCTAATGTCAAGGCCAAAGGAGATTCCCAAGCTGTGGCTGGGGACCAGAGTGAATGCGCCAGGATGGTAAGGGATGAATCAGCCCATATGTCTTGAGTTGACCCACCAAGGTTTGCTGACTGTCTGGTCCGTGCCTGGTCCTGGATACTTCCTCAGGGGTTAAAGGCTAAAAAAAAAACTTCAATCCTTTTCTTAAAGCATCTTGATGCTCGGTGGGGTGACCGCTGGGCTGGGGAGAAGGGGAAATTGTCTCCTTTATACTGTTGGATCTCTGGCTGGGCCTAAGAATTATAGACTATCAGGAGAAAAAAATGCACATTTTGTGGAGCCAGAAAGTACAGCCTGGGTGCTGCTTGCATCTGTGAGCTCTAATAGCCTCCACTTTAAACCCTGAGAAGAATGGTGGTTATGAGGTGATAAGAAAGGGATAACCTGGGCTCATTGCGTCTGGCTTTCCTGTATTTTGGGTACATGGAAAGACCCAGCCACTCTGCAACCAGGCCAGGTCCTGAGCCTGCTTCGGATCACATGAGCTAAAGCAAAATGTGCCACATACAGAACAAGACGTCTGAGAGCGGGGATAAGCCATCTGCAGCCACACGTCTTGTCCCTTCTGGCAGTGGCCATGGAGGTGGTGGCTGAGACGGCAGAGCCGCAAGGCGGAGGAAGCTGGATCTCCGAGTCACTGCACGGAGGAGGCCGTCCCTGGACCCACCAGGCTCTGACGGGAGCCGACACTGACCTTGACCGAGCTGAACACACCCTGCAGTGCTGACGCCCACAGACCCATGTGTGACATACCCAGTGTGACCAGGTAGTCTTGATGGATGTGACTGGTGGCGTGTCTCGGTTCTGTAATAAGAATCTCCTGGAGAGTATCGGCTGAAGGAACGGCAGTCACTGGGAGGAGCATAGCCTCTCCCCACCTGCTCGTAAGTCCCTGAAGCAGACGTTTCTGACGCCTGTTAATCCCAGTGGCCAGGCTGAGCCGTCCGTGATCTCACACGCTCAGCTCTGTTCTTTCCCGCTGCTGCTGATCGGCCTGTAAAGGAAGTGAAGCAAACGCAGGGACAGCATCTGCCGGCCCTGATGCAGGTAAACAGGTGGAAGTTTAGCCAGTGTCGCCCCGAGGCAGCCCCAGGTGTCTGTTACTAAGAACAGGAAGCACTGGGCGTCCGTCCGGGCCTCGCTCCGGGATATCACCAGCTTCCGGAGACCAGGGGTCACGAGAAAGCCATTCAAGCGGGTGTACCAGCTCAACACGTGTGCTGCTTTGGGAAGGCAGAGGCAGGCGTTAGCCTCTGGGCAATGGGAGGTGGGGGCTGCTGGTCTCTACTGCGGCCCCCCCTGGACGGCGACCAGAACTCTAAGTCGTGGAGACCCGGGCTGCCGGCTCCCTCTGCTGCCGGACCTTTGCTTCTTACTCGCTCTTGTCCACCTGTCCCTGCCCTGGCTCTCCCCCAGCTCCTGGGGTCGGAAGGCAGGAAACCCCGGCTCTTCCGGTCTTACACTTAGGCCAGTGCATCCTGGCACATGCGGTCATGTGTCTGCCTCTTTGTCTTCCGGATCTGTGGTGAATGGCTGACGTCTCACTGTCTGACCTTGCAGGTTGGGGTGCCGGCAGGTGGATAAAAGACTCCAATGAATGGTGATGAAATTATGTGACCCCAGAGTGCACGCACATGCGTGTATTTATGTGTGTGTGTGTGTGTGTGTGTGTGTGTGTGTGTGTGTGTGAGTGAGATGTACCAAGTCTTACTTGACTTTTGAGGCCTGACTCTCAGTGGTAAGTGACTCAAATGAGGCCACGCTGGGAAGACAGCTCCCGGCGTCCTGGACTTGGAGAGACTCGCCTCGGAATGCGGGGGACTTCTCCCCTTCACATTCATGATCCCTGAGCTTCCCTGTGTTAATCGACCGACGCAGGCCGTGTCCTGCTCTAAGGGGTCCCGTCCTGGGCGCGTTCAAGGGCAGTAAGCAAATGGGTGCCCCCCGGCCTTTTCCTGCACGCAGCCCTACAGCCGCAGCCCGCCCAGTGGGACGTCCAGGAGGTACTGAGCCACCTTTTTAAAAGGACTGAATGGTGCTGCCCCTGATCCCAGGGGGCTGCTCAGTCTGGTTCCTCCCGACCCCGCCTAAACCCCTGCGCGAGCGGCTTGCCTGGGCCCTGCATACGGGCCTCTTTGGAGGCAGTTCACGTCACAGCTGCTTATTTCTCTAAGATCAGCAGAGTCTCTCCCCCCTGTCTGCTGACAGCTGATTCTGCAGCCTCTCTGGAACACAGTTTTTCCATATTGTCAGTGGGGTCCAAGGCTGGAGAGGAAATCAGTCGGAGTATTTCATTCTGAAATTCTATGTACAAAATTTCCAGGTGGACTGCGTTCCAGGGTCAGGATAAAGTCTCCATCTGGCGGCCAAGTTCAGTCCTGCAAGCACTCTGGGCGTAACTGACCACGAGCAACCCACCCGCGACCTGGAGGGGCGGCTCTGAGGTCCGTGACTTCCGTGAGAAGCACAGACACACCTTCTAAACTCTGGTCCAGCAGGACAGGCTTCGTTCCCAGCCACTTGGAAGGGGGTTTCAACTTACACAGTGAACTATGAAAAGATATTGATGCAGAATTTATGTACTATAAAGGCATCATGTATTGGGGGAAATGACCTAGGGTCAACAACGCAAGGACATACATGAATAAAATAACTCAGGTACTTTATAGAGAAAAACTCCTCCAAGTGTCTAAGTAAAATAAATTCACCTAAAAGTGGAAAAAAATCCCTGGCTGGCTTCAGATTTCTCCGTAGCAGCACTTAAAGCCAGAAGAGGGTGTAACAACAGCCCTTATAGATCCTCAACGAAAGATAGGGTAACCCAAGGATTTATTTCCAAGCAAATTGTCCGACAGGTACAAAGGCGAGAGACATGCTTTTGAGTAAACACGACCTCAGACTCTTCTGAGAAAACTACCAAAGGGATGAACCTCTGTGAAAAACGATGTGAAGGCAGAGGAACAGTGAAAAAGGAATATTGTTAATTGTAGAGCTAGGACTAAATAATGCAGAAGTGAGGGGTTAGAGGGGAAGACAAATATTACATGTGCTGATGATGTAGGAATGATACAAGTAACAGAAATAGGTGAGAGAGGTCAATTCAAGGTGGGGAGGTAAAAAAGCGGTATTTACCACCTGCTCTGCAAGATTTGGGAGCCAAAGGAATTAATTTAAAGCCTAAATGGAAATCTTAGTTTAAATTGAACAATTATACCTTTAAATAGTTCAAAAGCAATCCAGAGAGACATAATACTATAAATCAACATGGGATTGTAGGACAGGGAAGAGGGGACAGGAAAAGAATGGGCTAATTTACCGCTATGGATAGTGATAACATCTGAAGACACTGAGAAATAACGGTATTAAATAATGTCATATAGGCAAGCCCTGGAGGGCCTCGCAGGCCTCTATATTCATCAGAAAACCCAACACACACACCACACAGTCAGAAAGACCTTAGATAGATATAAACAGAAATTATAGTGTAAAATAATACAACAGAGATAAAACCAAACTATGTCTTGTAAATATGCTAAGGGTTTAACTAATTTATAAAGAGAAAGGTATTTATATTGGGTCCACAGCAAAACATGGTTCCCTTTTATCCAGAACTGTGATGGAGAGAGGCCGACACGAAAATCCAGGCAAATGAATCCAAGTGAATTCAGACCAGGTGCATGGCACCCATAGCCCCCCCACCAGAAAAGGCGGTGCTTAGCCCGCAGAAGGGAGGACATGCCCACTGCAGCCCCACGGTGTGTGCGGTTAACTCAGCAGACCGGCTTTCCTGTCCCAGGCGTGAGCCCCACAGTCCGGCCTGGTCTGAGGACCCAATATAACTACTGTAAGAATTCTGCTAAGGACATTCCTTACAGCTGAAGTTCAGTGTGGCATAGAGTCATGATTATTTTTTAGGATAAGTTCCTGAGGCTGGGAAAGGACACTGGCTTGTTCTAAATTGTCCTCAACAGGGTGCCCCAATTTTCTTCCCAGTAACCATTCTATGAGAGTGAATGTTTATCTCCCAAACGCCAGGCAAGTCTTTTAATTCTGGCCATTTTGTTAGGTGAGGAGTGCAGGCATTGTGCGGTTTACATCCCCGTCTGCCGTCACCTTGTATCCAGGTATTTCCGTTTCCTGGCAAGTCATCCCTGAAACTCAGGATACAACGTTTAGGAGGAAGGGAGGGCTTAGAAAGGGTGTGAGGTCGCGTTTCTCAAGGTGAGGCCAGTGGGCCGCTTGCATCAGAATCGTTTGAGATGTTTGCTCACCGTTCAGATCCAGGTGCTTGGGCCGCACCACCTGCGGGATCATGTCTACAGAGATGAGACCCATGTATCTGCCCAGAAGAGGTGATTTCTAACTACACTGAAATCAGAGGTTAACTGCCCAGGCTAACTCCACTATCCAATTCTCAGGCCACCTTGACATTCCCGCCTGCTCTGGCTCCTCCACAAAGACATCTACGCGTCCCCCTCCCACATCAAGGTTCCAGCAGAACCAGATTCTCTTCCCGGCTTGTGGACAGACCTCTTCTTGCCGTTCCTCGCGTGGCGGAGAGCATGAGCCCTGGGCTCCTCCCCGTCCCACGAGGGCACTAACCTCTGCACGAGGGCCCTGTCCTGACCTCAGCTAGACCCAGCTGCCACCCAAAGGCCCCGCCTCCGAGCGCCGCCACGGGGGATTGGCTTCAGCACAGGACTTCTGCGTGGGCGCCAACTCTCAGTTCAGAACTTGTGTCCTGTGCCCCGAGTTCATGCTCCTCTTATTACCTGCAAAATACATTCATTCTACCCTAACAGCCCTAAAATTCTTAACTCCAGCATCCATTCTCAAGCCTGAAGTCCAAAGTCTCATCTAAGTATCATGAAGTCAGACACGGGTGAGACTGGAGGTCTGGTTCGTTCTGAGGCAGAATTCCTGTCCAGCTGTGAACCTGGGAAACCAGATCAGTCAGGTGCTTCCAACTGCACAGGTGGCCCAGGTGCAGGACGGACCTGCCCGTTCCGACGGGGAGAAGGCCTCACGTCTGCCGCTGGGAGTCGTGGCCCCCAGGCTCCGGGCGACCTGCCTCCGCGGCTGCAGGGCACCCCTGTCCCGTGGCTGGGCTCAGAGGCGGGCTTGCCGGGACCGAGGCGATGCCCAGATGATCTCTGAACCGTCTCCGTGGTTAGTCTTCTTCTTGCCGTGAGGAAGGGGGCATGCGCGCCGCCTGCTTCCATTCTGTCCCGTTTTCTCTGTTTCCTTTGGCCCGGCTGGCAGGGTTTCTATTCCTGGATTCAAAGACTGGGGTCTTTGCTTCACTCCGTAGCCAGTGGTTGGTCAGCCAGGCCACCCTGAAGGCCTCGCCTATCGGAGATTAGGGTCCCGACACATGGACTGGGGGGCCGTGAGCATCCGGCCCATATGCCCGCCCTGCGTTTAGTCAGGGGGCTCGATGTCGCGGACCTGCCAGAGCCATGATTCTCCTCGAGTCCTGCTTCTCGGAGTGGGATCTGCACGTTTCTCCTGGCGTAGCAGGGGTCCCCGTGCAGTGTGGCAGCTCTAGAGAAAGAGCCATGAGACAGCCCTGCTCACGTATGTTTTACAAATTTGAGATGTAGCATTAGTCACCCTTTCAGAATCCGCTGCGTTCCTCATGATTGTATTTTAAGGTTGTGCCGTGACCCCAGAGCTGCGCTGATGTGTCTGCCTTCGCTACGATTCAGCTGATGGTCCTGTTTCCCGTGGCATCTGTGTTCTTAAGTTGCTGTCACAGCTAATCTCTAGTGGCATAAATCAGGGGCTTGAGCACAAGGGGCTTCCCCAGAGCTGCCGAGAGGTGGAAGAACTGGCCTGGGTACCACCAGCCGACCACACGCAGCCGGGTGCACACGCGTGGGACTCAGGAAGAAAGGGGCCCCTCGGAGTCGGGGCCGCCGGCAGGGCTGTTCACTCTCTCCTGCATTCCTGCATGTACAAGGAGGCGCTCAGAGATCTGGGCCTCCAGTGAGATCCGTGCAAGCGGGGGGCATTGGGCATCTCAGCCCTGGCTAGACCTCCCTGGCGTTGGCAGTGAAGTGTTCCTGGGTACCATCTGTGCCTGCTTAAGCAAGGGGGAAAGAGAGGAGGGAGAGGGCAGAGCCCCTCCGCCCGTGCTCTGCACCTGGTGAGGCAGGTGGGCAGAGGTGCTGAATTTCAGGTGGACACCATGGAAAGGTGTTGGGCTTAAGTCACTTTGATGGTGCCTCACCGAAGAGGGCTGCCAGGCAGGCAGGGGAGCTCTGGGCTCGTCACAGGAGACAAGGACTCGGGCAGCCTCTGGGGGCAGCAGCTGGGAAGGGGGCTTCCTCAGGGTGTAAGCTGGTGCCTCTCCCAAGAAAATGTGGCCAAGGAAGCCACCCTAGAGTCCCCTACGGAGCACACACATGCCTCCCTGAAGAGCCACCCCCTGCACAGAGCTGCAGGGACGCCAGTTAAAACACCAAAACACCTGGAGCCTTTTCTCTCATTCATTCCCCCGTCTAAGGAGAGGGGCAGGGGGCTCTGGTCTGAGGCCTGGCTGGCCCTGGGCAGCAGGGCAGACATAACATGAGACTGGGAAAGCGGCTTGAGTTTAGAGTGAACTGGATGGAGTGCAATGGGCTTTCGAATACTTCAAATACCTCATCAGTCCCACCGGAGAGTGGCCCCAAAGCTCTGGGATTTGCCCGAAGCATCCTCAAATGCTGGAAAGGAAAGATGCAACTTACTGAGTTTGAAGGCAAAGATTAGAGAAAAACAAAAGCCATTTTGCGTTGCCTTATTTAGCTCAGACTGTTCAATAAATCCAGTTGCAACGGTTTTGAAGTGTATTTCAGCATGTTAGTCAATAGCTTGAGCAGCTTGAGTTTATGGCCTTAGGACCAAAGATCACAATTTTTAATGTTGAGATGTGATATCAGAGTTCATCAGGAATCAATTATGGGATGAACAACTTGATCATAAAATGCTAAATTTTCTCAATTACTTTCCTAGTTGAAGAGGGACTCTCATATTGGGTATGTTTTAAAATCACATCTATATGCTGCAACAGGTTATGAAGAAATTCTTCTTATATCCAAGTGTAACTAGAGATCACTTGCCTCTAAAAAAGTATTAATTTATTCAGCACGGCCTAGGTGACAGGTACTATGGGGTGCTTTGCATATATTAACTCAATATGTCCAAAAAATTAAAATGTTCTGATGTTGCTCCTACATGTGAAAGTTCTTTGCAAACTATAAATGCTGCATAATTATCAGGGGCTCTAGCTGCTATTAGAATGGCACTGACACTGTAGCAAGATTTTTCCTTCTTTCAGAAGGTAACTTGTGCTATATGAATGTGAATTTAAGATGGAAGAACCAGTAATTGAAATGAATGAAATGGATTAGATGAATTAGATTATTCATTAGGTAAAATGAATTAGAATGAACACCATTCAGCCTGCATGTTCTCTAGTCCCACCCTGCCTCTTTCCCTCGTCAGGGGGTCAGGCTGCCCTCTGGAAACCATGACCCTCCCCTCCACCCCGCCCGCATCTGGAGATTTCCACCCCCTGCTGGGCGAGGGCCAGACACCTTCCCTTGTGCAGCTGTGAGGGCATTCTCCGTACCACACCTGAGTCATGCATGTGCTTGTGTGATGGCCCCAGCCAGACTGCAAAGCATGAGATGGGTTCTTCGTGGAAGGGATCTGATCTCGTTGCCCATCCAGCAGCCAGCACATTAAACACCCGCGGGTTGAACTGATCAGAACCGCATCGGTATGAATTCCCCGGGCAAACATGAACTGCAGCAATTTGGTTTCAGAGGCAAAGCCATCTGCCCGTGTCCAGCCTGACCTCACTCCTTGACGATAGCCTCACGTGCCCAGTGTGGTCACGTGGAGAGTGTGGTCGTGTGAGAACATGGCCGCTCTGGGAAGCCCTGGCTGCCAGGCCTTGGCATCCTCACGGACGTAGTGCCCGCTCCTGCCACTGGACCAGAAAAACCTCTATTCAGGGCCTCTGGGTAGGCCGCTCAGAAGGGTCTGGGCCCCCGGTGAGCCTTAACGGGGCTCCTGTAAACACACCTGAGGCTCCGTGTAAGCGCTTTTTACACAGCATGCCATGTGCTGGTTAATTCCCACAGTAACCCTATGGGGTGCCGACTGTTTTGGAGAGGAGAAAATGGGGAACCAAGACTTTACATAACTTTTAAGATCACAGTTTGTAAGTGGTGCAGGTGGTTTCGAATCAGTGCAAACTGTCCTCAGAACTCATGCTCTGCATGGCTTCCTGTTGCCCTCTGGACAGTGGGACTGGGCCTGATGCAGTTTGAGCTCCAGTCTGCTTAAGGTAAGTGAAGCGAAACCCTGACGATGGTCTGTCTGTGCAGCTCATTCCTTCCCACCCTTAAAACAAACGATAAACAATGCTTTTCGGTTTGACACTAAGAAGGACGTGTGGTCAAAGTATCTCAGAGGTTTCCTCAGCTCTGTGTTGCACTTCATGTCTCTGCATGTAACTGAAAAGTCTTAATTTATGAAGTATGTGTTCATTACTCTTTGCCACACACTGAACCTGTTTTGCAGAAATAAATCACTGGATGTGAATTTAACACGAAGCCACAGATGGCGCCAGAGAACTGAGCAACACAGAATTCATTTCCAAAGAACCTTTGTGCTGTTTCAAGAGACCTGCGGGCTGTGGGGAGCTGGGTGTTGGTCACTAGGCCACCCCCTGGTGTACCTTCCGGGAAGGGAGGTGCCCCTTCTCTCTGCTCATACCGATGCTGCTGCGTCTGTGCGCCGTGGAAATCTCTGATGCAAACACGCAGGCCTCGTCTTCTCGAAGGGCCTCCGCAGGTGCAGAGGTGGGGTTCTCCTGGCTCTCCCTGGAGCAAAGTGGGGTAAAGCTCAAAGAAGTGTCCCTACAGAAGCCCCTTACTATCGCTCTTGCTGCAGGGTGGTCAGACCTACGAAAACGTCTGCTAGACAAGCGGGAGGGTAAGAGATCCACGCGGCCTAGACTCGGCGGCTTATTTTTGTG